AGGCAACCCTGTGCTTAGCCGTGCTGCGGGCTTGCCTATCCTGCATTCGCAGGGGCTCCGGGCGCCCAACCCTGTGCTTGGCCGTGCTGCGGGCTTGCCTATCCTGCATTGGCAGGGGCTCCGAGCGCCTGCGAGGTAGGCAACCCTGTGCTTGGCCGTGCTGCGGGCTTGCCTATCCTGCATTCGCAGGGGCTCCGGGCGCCCAACCCTGTGCATGGCCGTGCTGCGGGCTTGCCTATCCTGCATTGGCAGGGGCTCCGAGCGCCTGCGAGGTAGGCAACCCTGTGCTTGGCCGTGCTGCGGGCTTGCCTATCCTGCATTCGCAGGGGCTCCGAGCGCCTGCGAGGTAGGCAACCCTGTGCTTGGCCGTGCTGCGGGCTTGCCTATCCTGCATTCGCAGGGGCTCCGAGCGGCCGCGCGTAGGCAACCCTGCTTGCCCTGGGCTTGCCTACTCGCCGACACTCGCTCCCCATTGTGGGCCCTTCCCTCCTTTTCTCTTTCCTTTCCCAGCGGTCGGTGCGTCAGCGGCGCGGCGCCCCGTCATAATAAGATGAAATGAAATGGAAAGTGAATCCGCGGCGGGCGGGGCTCTGCGGCGCTCTGCGGGGCTCTCCGAGGCTCGCGGCTCGCGAGGCGGCCGCACCGAACACCTCGTTAGAGGCGCCCTGAATTTGTTATACACTCGAGGAGAGGGGGAAGGGGCCGAAAGTGCGTGCGGGTTCGTTCGTGAAGAACGTGGCAATACACGTGGCAAAGACGGGGGGAAGCATAGCCAAGGCATAGCCTGAAATGGGTCGTCGATCGAAGCAATTTGGTCGCTGCAATCGATTGGATGAAACATTTCTCAGGCGAGTGGTGGTGGAGGTGGTGGTGAGGTTGGAAGGAAAGGGGAGGGAAGCTTCAACCTCAAATGCAGCAGAGAGTACACAAACGAGAGTGCCTATCGTAGCACGGAGCAGAGTGTACTCAAGCGTGCAAGTGATTTCACAGTGTGGGACCTTGTGTCGCTCCCTGTTTGGAAGTGACCCTCTAGTTGTCCGCGGCGCACGTTTGAGTGCGGGCCGCCTTTCGGCGCGCGTCTTGCGGCGAGCGGAAGGACGAGTGTGTGGCGGCGTGCGGCCGTTTGGCGAGGGCGACAGGGCGACGCCTCTAGAGTGTTGGCAGCCGGCGCGAGTTGGCCGGGCGGACAGGTGAAGCAGGCGAAGCAGGTCTAGGAGTAGAGGGGGCGATGCACCCGCCGCCCGAGCAGTGCGAAGGCGCGAAGCAGCGCAGTGATTGGCGTGCGGTGTAAAAGGCGTGCCGCAAGCCGTGCCACGAGCCGTGCCACGCTGGATGGGGCCGGATGGGGCCCACACTGCACCAACGCTCTGACCCTGACCCAAACTGGCGGTGCGGCGTGGGGTGGCGCTGGCTGGCTGGCTGCCTGCCTGCCTGGCTGGCGGGGGGCGCCGCCCTGCGCTCGGTCGTGCCCGCCTTCCGCCCTGCCTGCCCTGCCTGGCCTGCCTGGCCCTGCCTTTGGCCTAGCTGTCGACTGGCGCCGCCTCGTGCGGACAGGGCGACAGGGCCCAGGAGGGCCTGGAAGGGCTTGCGCCGCTTGTCCTTCTCGTACTGTCCCGCTTGTCCTTGTTTTCCCTCCTTGTCCAGCTCGCACTGCTTGCCCTTCTTGCTTTGTCCTGCTTCTCAAGCTTACTCTGCTTGTCCTGCAAAACAATGTCGGTTCTTGAACCGAGATACTTGTCAAGTGAAATCAATACTGATCAAGTCAACTTACTGGAATGTTTCAAGTCAAGTCACTTGTTCCAAGTACCTTGGTTCAATAGATGATATTTTGGGGAGTGCTTGTCGTGCTTGTTCTGCTTGAACCCTCCTCGTCTGCGGTCGTCGCAGCCAGGCAGTTAATCCGCTACAGCCGGACAGTTTCTTCCTGACGGCGGCGAGGTTTAGGACCTAAAGCTTGACTGTGGCGCCTGCGCACGCTGCTCGCGCCTTGTGGAGCGGCGAGGGCATGAGTGAGGACGGGACCAGGACGGGACGGCGAGGAGGCGGCGGGACGAGTCTAGACCGCAGGACTGCAGCGCGGCGCTCCAAGGCCGTCTTCCTTCCGCTGCAGCGCGCTGGAGAGGTTGTCGCCTCGGAACCGCTCCGCTCCGCGCCGCGCCGCTCGCGGTGTGGGCCGCCGCTTCCTGTGGGCCGCGGGACTGCAGCGAGCCTTCAGCCGGCCCGCCGCCTTTCTTCCCGCGAAAGCCCGCGAGCTTCTAGTGCCCATGCATCCTTGCTGGAGGCAAGGCGTGCCGCGTGCCACGGGGCTCCAGCAGGATTCCAGCGGAACGAGGTTCCAGAGGGTTCCAGCGGGCTGGACTCGCATCAAGGCTTCCACGGCGCTTCCGGCGGGCTTTTCATCCAGCTGGACGGACACGGACGCGCCGCGCGCCGATGCCCCCGATGACACAGTGAGACGCAGCGCAGCGCCACTGCCCCGCTGCCCCGTTCGCGCGCCTCGATTCCTCGATTCCTCGACTCGATGCTCGACTCGATTCTCTCGATGCCGGCGCGATAAGAGCGGAATGAGTGGCGGCATCGATCGGCGCGCCGTGATTGGCGCACGGCTTGTACGGCGAGGAGGGAGCGGCCTTGGCGGCGCTGCAAGGGGGGGGGAGGCTTATCGCATTCCTCAGGATCGTCCCCACGGCGAACAGGTTCCTAATCAGAGCGATAAACTCCGTCACCTTGCCGGCGGCCGTGCGGCAGCGCGCCCCGCCGCGCCCGCCGCGCCCCGCCGCGCCCCGCCGCGCCACGCCACGCGCCGCCCTTGGCGCTTCATTAAGCCCAATTAATGCTTTCCCTCTCGGCTGCCGGCCGCATGCCGGCGTGCCCGTGGTGCTCGCGGTCTTGCCCGCCTCGCTATCGAGGGATTATCTGTGTCGGCTGACACTGTCGCGGCCCTGTGAGTGTGTGCACCTGTCAGCAGGGGGCGTGGCGGCGGCGGTCCTGTCCCGGACGCTGCGGGCCGGTAGGGCCAGAGAGGGCCAAGGCTTCCAACCTTCCAACAGACGCGCCGTCGCCAGGCTAGGCAGAACCAGCACCAGGCAAGCGCTGCGCGGAAAATGAAACAACTCGGATCAATAATTCATGGGCCGCGTGTTTGCGGTGTACTTTGCACCTGCCGCCTCCTGCCTGCCGCCACGCGGCACGTGCCTGGATGCTGTGCGGGCACATGACTCCCCCCCCCCCCCTTCCGCGTGACGCCACTGCCGTCTTTGCGCGGCCACGACACTGCTTGTGGCGCCCCGGCCGGCCCGGCGCGGCGGCAAGAGAACCGGAATGAAATCTTTTAAAATCTCCCTCCTTCCTCTCCTCTCCATGCCTGTGCCGCTCCCCTCCTTCGCATCCTCCTCGCTCTTGCTCCCTTCTCTCTCGCCGTCGAGCCGTCCCGTCCCAGCAGTCGCCACCTGTTCGGCGGTGCGGCGGTGCAGTGGCAGTGGAGTTGACGTGGCGGCGCGGCCGTGAGCGCCACATGGCCAATGCCTTCCATGTGTTATCGATCAGGGTCCTGCCGCCCTGGCGCGCCACGGCACTGCCACGAGCAGCGTCTCCAAGGCGAGGCCGCGGCCAGGCCGAGGGTCGAGGGCCAGCCCGGGCCAGCCTGCCTCACAGGCAGCGCCACAGGCAGCGCCACAGGCAGCGCCACAGACAACAATAACAACCGAATTACTAGTGCCGCCCGAAGGCAAGGTTGCCGTGACCCGCGACCTACTCGCCGCACGGCGCCGAAGGGCGCGGCCGCCAAACTTGGGCGCCATGACCTTTGCTCGGGGAGAGAGGGGGAGGGGGATGGCGCCCGTGTGTCATAAACACCATCTGCACCGTCGCCTTGGACTAGAACAAGGCCCAGCGCCGCCCAGCGCCGCCCAGCGCCCGAACAACATCGGCCGGCCAATCTGAGAGCGGCCAGTGCTCCCCGCTCGCAAGGTGCCGCGGACACGCCGGGACGGGGGATCGGCTGGGTGACGCACCCAGCGTGCCGGCCGCGACTGCGATGGGCCGCGACCCCAGGAAAGGATGTGGCGTTGGCGGCCTGCCTGCCTGCCGCCACACTGTGGCCACAGCCGCACGGGGCGCAGACTAGGCGAGGACTAGACGCAGGCTCGGGCAAGAACCAGACGAGGAAACCGATGAGCGAATGAAGGCAGCCGCGGAAAGCCCTCTGGGTTCTTCTGGCTCGCCGTGTGCGTCGAGCTGGCCCCCGTTTCTGTCGTCGCCGTCGCGGCCGTCCGTCCGATTGTTGCGGAAATGTTGTGGCTGATTGATGGGGCAGGACCGGGGCGGGCAGGCCTGGGGCAGGCGGGCAGGGATCCGTCTGGTTGCGCTCGACAATAATAGCCTGCTTTGCCCTTTCCCTGCTCCTTTCCTTCGCATTCCGGAAAGGGCCGTCATTATCTTATTTTTAGCCGGAAGTGGAGCCAGGGCCCTGGCCGCCCTGGCCGCCCTGCCCCCACTCACGACATGCGCCACGCGACACCGCGGCCGGCTTGTCCAAGGGCTTGTCATTGGCTGCGTGGGCGCCAGTCAAGCGAGCCTCGAGCACCTCGGCGTGCTTCCAGACGTCCCCCGCGGCCGCGCCGTGGCCGCGCCGTCCGCCCAGACCTGTCCCAACGCCGTGATGCCGTGGGCCCCACGGGCCGCACGGGCCGCACAGGTCGAGCGAGGGACCCGGCCTGGGCCCCGGCCCTGCCTGCCGCCCGGCCCGCTCGGCCCGGGGGTTGGGGCTGTGGGGGCTGTGGGGGCCGAGGCCTCGGCGAGGCCGGGGCAGTCGCCGACTATTTTTAGCCCGGCGACGCGGCGACGTCCCTTCGATGACGGCGCCCCTTTGACCCGACGGCGTCCTCGATTCGCGGCGCTACCTGAGGCACTGACGTCGTACGTCGTACGGCCGGCCGTCACGCCAACTTGACTTGGTGACCACCCGTTTCTCATGCCGGATTATTTTGCTGTTGTTGCAGGAGGCGCCCTTGGCTCCGCCGGGGTAGTTAACCACGGCCACTGTGTGGTCGTACAAGATGCCGGTGTCGGTGGCGGCGCGGCGGCCGTCCGCACCCTCCTCGCCCTCGTCGCGCACCTCGTACTCGTCGTCGTACTCCACGTCCAGGTACTCGTCGCTGTCCAGGTCGACCGTCACCTCGCTCGACCTCACCTCGACGCGCTACCTCAGCGATCGGCTGTCATCCAGGTGGGTTCACGGATCGACGTTTTTTCTCGAGAATGGACCAGCCAAGTTTTGAAAATGAATGTTTTTCTTGCTCTCCGTCCACAGCTCGCTGTCAGCGCGCCCCGTCCGCCATGGCAGCCACTCGGAAGACGTGCTGTCGCGGTACTCGACGTCCAGGGAGCGCTCGACGGAGCCCAGCCGGGCCTCGTCGTCCTCCCTGTGTGACACCACCTCGACGGCGGCGCGGCGAGAGCGCGAGGGCTCCGTCACCAAGGCCCGCCTCGGCCTGGACACGGCCTCCACCACGGCCGTAGCGTCCTCGCGCCTCGACGCGCCGCGCTCGGCCTACACCGGCGCCTCGAGCGGCAAGCTGGGCCGGCCGCCGCTGCACTCAAGCTTGTCGTCCTCCGCGGACGAGCCGGCGGCCACGGCCTCGGCCAGGGCGGGCAGCACGGCCGCGGCCACGTCCACGTACACGCGCAGCCGCACCACGCCGACCACGACCGCCACCATGACCACCTCCACCGGCAAGCCGTTCCACAGCCGCTTCCTCAAGCCCAAGCCCGCCGCGGAGGACAAGGACAAGGCCAGCTCGACCAGCGAAAAGGCGGGCTCCAGCGACAAGGAGGTGGGTAGAGGCCTGGCTTGGGCAGCGTGGCGCAGCGTAGCGCAGCGCAGAGGCCTGCAGCGGGAGGGCCGCGCACTGGGCGTCCGAGTGTCCAGCTCGGTGTCCACTGCGCCGTTCTCCGCGTGCTCGCGCGAGACGCCGGGCGGCCGGACGCATGTCGGCAAGGGGCGGAGGGGTGGCCTGAACTGAAACCGGCGTGCCTTCCAAAGCGCTTCCCAGAACCAGAGTAGTCTCGCGGGCTCTGCCTGGCTCTCCCCTTGTTTCCCCGCCCTGTGTGTGCCTGGGCACGGCCTCGGTGGCGCCCCAGTGGCGTGTCGGAAGTCTCTCCCCTCCGCCCCTTGCCCTTGCCGCCCTTGCTGCCCGGCCCGCCCGCTCCTCGAATGTCGGTAACCCTGCGCTTGCTGTGTGTCAGTTTGTTTTGCTCATTGCGTTAATTAAATCATGTGTCTGGGTCCTGCGCGACCAACCGAAGCAGCGTAAAAACACAAGTCACTAATCCAAACCTTAATCTTAACGAGTGCACCGCTCGATCGCTAACATGCGGGGCGTGGAATGGACAAGCAGGCGGCGCGCCTCGCCTTGCGCCTCGCAGTGTCGCCGGCCGGCTGTCCACGGCGGCATGGCGACCCTGCCGTGTCACTCTGTCTCTCTCGCACGCTTCGGAGTTCGCCATGAGTGCGACAGAGACAGAGCGGCGAAATTCTGAATCGCTGGCGCCATGCTGGTGGGGCCCCTGGGCTCGCCGCCTGCTCGTCGCCCCAATGCCCCTCCTGTCGCCTAATCGGCCTGATCGCCGCCCCGTGCAGCTGGTGCGCGAGGTCCGCGACGAAGACGACGCCCGCAACAACAACAGCATCCGCGCGGCGTCCACGGCGTCCACGGACAACGGCGCGGAGGACGCCGACGACGACAACAATGGCAACGAGAGCCACCGGCGGCCGTCCGTGGCGCTGCTCCGGCAGCGGTTCGACGCGGCCGTCCCCAGCCCCGCGGCCGCCCCCTGCTCGAACCCCGCCACGGCACCCTCCACGGCGCCCTCCCCGCCAGCGGACAGCAAGCACCAGGAAGGCGGCCACAGCCGCGTGCGCGAGGACGGCGCCGGCCTCGCCCTCGGCGGGGCGGAGCGGGCGGACGCGCCGCTGGCCGGCGGCCATGAGGAAGTGGCGAGCGGCAGGCACCAGCGCCTCAGCGCGTCGCCCTCGCCGTCCGCGCCGTCAGACCCGGTAAGTCGCCGCGTAGCTTGGCTTGGAACCACCTGCAGGCACTCCGCACCCTACCACCCAGAAGCAGGAGGCAACTACCCGCCGGCATTTGCACCCCCCGTACTCCCACTGGGATTCCTTAGTGGCACGACCCGCACTTACTCAAAATGCCAGCTTTTACGTCGCTGTGGCCGCACGCCGTAAAACCCTCCACCCGCCAGGACGCGTCGATCCCTGCGTTCGGCGGCGTTCCGCTCTCGGCTGTCCTTCCCGTGCCGCGTGCCGGGTGCCGCGCTGTGGACATGCGGTCGGCCGAACCCTCGCCGCGTGTAACGTTACGCCAGGGGGTCGGGCCAGGCGGGCCAGGCCACCCCGGAGGCGGTGCGGCCCGTGCGGTCCCGACCCGCCCGACGAGCCACCCCCAAGGCCCCAAGCCGCAGCCGAGGCCGGCGGGCCGTGCGGGACAGCGCCACCGCAACCGGCTTGTCCTCCCCGTCGTCCCGTCCCGGCCCAGCCCGGCCCAGCCGGCCACCGCAACCTGATCGCGGTGCGGGCTAATCCCGCCCGTCCGCCGCCCGCCGCATTTGAATACTCGGCGAGTCAAGCCCATGCCGACCGAGTCCCCGGCCGAGTCCCCGACCCACGCCCAACTGCCCTTCTGGCCTTTCTGCTTCGCCCGCAAAGACTATGGATAAAATCCGACGCGGTGCCTCAACTTTTTCGGAGGGAGGGCAGTCCGTATTTGGAAGCGTTCCGGCGTCCCCCGGGCCTGTGCGGCCAGCGGGGCCAGTGGGGCGTCGCTGAATGCTGCATGACGCCGCCCTGGAGGTGGTGCCGACCTAGCCGACCCACTCGCCTCGGCTCAGGCGACAGAGGGTGGGCAGGAACAGGGACGCCACTTTCCGATCCGATCGCCTCCGCTCGCCTTGCAGTGTAGCGCGCGTTGGGGCGCACGGCCATACCTGGGCCATACACGGCATCCCTGGGGGTGACCGGCCGGGCACGGCGCGCCACGCCACGGCACGCCACGGCATGACGCGCCCCTTGCACTCCGCCCGTCCACGACGCCCCTCGACGCCCTCGCAGCCCTGCATCGGACAATCAATACTGGGCCTATGTCGCGGCGCCAGGCCGCTAGGCCAGGCTAGGCCTGCAGCCTGCAGGCCTCCTGGGGGCCTACATGCGAGCCTCCTCCGTGCCGGCCCTGCTGGCGGGGCTGGCCAGGCCGCGGGGGCCACACTGTGGGGGCCGGGTCGACTGCCGGGCATTAAACTCTAAACTCGACCATCAAGCGGAACTGCGTATCCAAGTGCGCCCCGTTAGGATTTGCCGGGGAAGGGGCGAGGGGGGATGTGAAAGGGGGAGGGGCGATTAGATTTAAGACCCGCCCCTTCGCGGTGCGTGCGCGCGGGGCATTTTTTCCGTCCGGGTGGAAGGGGAGGGGAGGGGGTGTCCTTCCCCGCAACGCAGGTGCGTGCGGTCGTCGTGCGTCCCCCCCCCCCCCGGCCCTTATCGCCACGGCCGAGACCTTGTTTATCTTTAACGCCCGCCTTGAGCCGGACGGCGCCGAGGCCAAGGCGCCGCCAGCCGGCAGTGCTGCTCTGCATCCATTTTTTACAAGTTGAGGTTTCGAGAGCGCGGCGAGGATATGGATCGGGCCGGAGAAATTCACTCATTTCTTCCGATCGACAATGTAAGGCAAGGAGGACGAGGCGCGCGGGTCATGCCACGGAATCACCCACTACCCCCTCCACCCCTCACCCTGCAGGATGGTCTCCGTATCACGTTCGTGTCGCTGATTGTTGCGCTTGTGTGCGTTTGTGAGCCTTGCTGTGTGCGGGTGTGTCTGTGTGTGTGTGCCTAACGCTATCGCCGCGCAGTGAGCAGCCAGCTTACAGCCTACGTGTGTTTGCGCGTGATTGCGTGCACTCAACACTAACTCAAAGCAGACGCCATTATTCAGAAAGGGGCCAGGGGGGGGGGCTAATACTGGCACGTCGATATTTAAGCGAGGAAAGGGAAAGTCCCGCGTCGACGTCACTTCTTCGATCTCGTGGGCCTTGGCGCCTTGGCGGCGTCAGGCCGCAGACGTCAGACGTGTGTCAGACGTCGCAAAGGGCGAGTCTGTGAGTCTGTGACTCCGAGCAGCCGCGGGAGCGGGTTCAAACACCCGCCGCTGGACAGGTGGACAGGTGTCACAGCGCGGTCGGCGGGGCAGGGCAGGCGACCAGACGCTCGCTCTCGCCGGTCGAGTAGGCCGTCCTGCTGGGCTTGCCCCTCGGGAGGGGACGGGGTAGCGCCAGCGCGGCCAGCACCGCCCCGGCGTGGCCGGCCGCGGCCCCCAGCGGCCCCCACCCGCGAGGTTGTGCAATGCGAGTGGCCCGATTTAGCAGGCCGCGGTGCGGGAGCGTGGCGGGGCGTGGCGGGGCGTGGCGGGGGGATGGCCGCGCGACCGAGGGTTGAGACTGGGTCGCCGAGTGGAGTGGCCCATTCCATTCCGTCGCGTTGTGGTCTTACTCTGCGGCCGCTCCCGCGCTCCGCTGCACCCCGGTCCCGCCCCGCCACGCCACGCCACGCCCCGCCACGCCCCACCTCGCCACCCCGCCCCGCCCATGGATGACCCTGCGGCCCCCGAGGTAGTCCGCGAGACCTGTCCGCGACCAAGGCGAAGGTGGCGCTGCAGACGCGGTGCGTGCATGGCCGAACTTCGGTGCCCGCGTCCCCGGCCCCCGATATGCAGATTTTCTATGAACGCGCGACGCGCTGGAGGGGAGGGAGGCCGCGCTGCGCCGCCACGTAAAAATAGTGGCCGGGGCGCGACGGGGGAAGGGGCAGCGAGGGGCGGGCGGCCACACGGACGCATGCAGACACTGCAGTGCGGCGGCCGCGGCGGCCCGGCCCGTCGGCATGAGAGTAGGCCGCGCGGGCCGGGAGTGGGCAGTCGGGCAGTCGGGGCAGTCCGGGGGGATGGACGCGCGCGGCGCCGCCACTGCCGCCGCGGCCGCGGACGTCAAGATGGGGATAAACTTAGCCCGAAGCTCGCGGCGTGCACGAGGGCGTGCCGGCAGTCCGGGCCTCGCCTCCCCTGTCTCGTCGAGCGAGCACTGGACCCACTCGGGTGGGAGAGGGGGGCAGACAATGCAGGTCCGCGGCACTGGCGGCACTGTCCGTCCTAGGCGTCTCTAAACACGGTCGAGGCCCACATCGCCATGCCTGTCATAAAGCTCATACGCGGCGCGCTAATTTTAAGCGGACCACCGCAGGAAGTGGCAGGTGGAGGGGGTGCCGTCGTCCTCCCCTCCCCGAGGCCCGTGGCCCCATGGCCCCGTGCCCGTGGGACGGCGGGCTTAGATTTTGGCCGGGCCTACGCGGCCTGTTGTGGCGCGGCGGTGATGTAGTGCGCCTCGAGGTACGGCCCGCCGACGACGCCCCCGTGCCGCCCCCGTGCCGCCCCCGCGCCGCCCCCGTGCCGCCCTCGTGACGCCTCGCGAACCCCCGGCGCGGCGGGTGGTATGTGCCGCCGGGACGCGCCGCCCGCACCGCGCCGCCCGCGACCAGCCGGGATGGTGGCGCCGAGCAGCTGACGGGCCTGACGGGTGCTGACCCTGCCGGGCCCTGCCGGGGCTACGCGCTGCGCGTGCTGGCCGCTGCACGCGCCGGCCGCAGCCTTTGACGCCGCGCGCCGCGCGCCGCGCAGCACACCGTGGACGCCCTCTTGCTGCCCCTGGGGTCGCTGGGGCCGGGCTGGAGCGGGGCGGCGTTGGCCTGGGCCGGCTGGGCCGTGTGGGGCGTGTGGGTGCTACTCCTGGGGGCCACCCTGGCGTCCCTCGCGCTCGGCCCGTCCCCCCGGTCGCCTCGGTCGCCCCAGTCGCACCGCGGGCTCAGAGAGCACGCCGCCCCTAGCCACTCCCAGCCCCGGCCGCCCCCGCTACCCCCTCCCCGCGTGGGGCTGCTGCTCGGACAGAGGCTCGCGAGGACCCTCTCGGTGGGTATGGGAGGGAGGACGGGTGCCTTGGGGGAAGTCCACATGGAGTGGAGTGAAAGACTGTTCAATATTCAGAAGCACTGCCTTCGTTTAAACGTTACTGTTTACACTTGATACTTGTTCGCGCTCGGGCAAGTGTGTATATTTCTTCAACTGGTTTACTACACCAAACTTAAAACGAACTTTATGATTAGTTACAAATATTTCCCCAACACACACTATTATATATTCCAGCACAGTTTTGCTGTATTCGATGCTTTCTCTTTACATTTTTTAAGTGGGAAACTTTTGTGTTGTGTTGAAGAATTTTGCCAGGAGGGCGCCATTAGGACAGTAGTTGCTCTCACCAAAATTTAGCTTGGCTATCCAATTCTAATTCTCTGTGTGATCATTGTTTTGCAGGACAACTTTGAATCTCCCCGTCTTGGCCGACGAGCTCCCTCCACATCCAATGGCTCTCGTGGCTCTGGCTTGAATGGCCTCAGGAACATTGGCAACACTGTAAGTAGAAGTTCTAAAAGAGGGGGGAAAACTACATATAACGTTTTTTTCCCTCAAAATTTAAGCTCACATTTTTTCTTTCAGTGTTTCATGAATTCAGTCATCCAATGTCTAAGCAATACTCGACCTCTCCTGGAATATCTCCTTAAGCAGACATATCTTGCTGAGATAAATACCACCAACTCGAGTATGAAGGGAGCATTAATTAAAGGTGTGTAAAAACCTCGCATACTGGAAAAACTTTATTTTGATTTTAGCAAAATGTCTAAGAGTTTCTTTTCTTAATCGCAGCATTTGCCAAGATGATAGAGGAATTATGGACTGGTGAAGCGCAAGTCATCAACACCTCTGCTTTCAAAGGGCAAATACAACATTTTGCTCCAAGATTCATGGGATACAGCCAACAAGATGCTCAGGAATTCTTAAGATACTTACTTGAAGGTATATTTTATGGCTTTTCCTTATTTTCTTTTTCTGAATTAATACAGATAGAAATCATATGTAATTGTCCATTAAATTTCAGGCCTGCATGAAGATGTGAACCGTGTGGAGCAGAGGCCTACCAACACTGTTCTTCCAGACATAGATGACTCATTGAATGACAACCAAAAGGCTGATGAATCTTGGCGGCGTTATCTCAGGATAGACAATAGCTCTGTCTTAGATGTATTTGTTGGTCAATTGAAATCAACTCTTCAGTGCACAACTTGTGGGCATTGCTCTGTAACATTTGATCCTTTCTGGGATTTGAGCTTACCCATTCCATCTCGCACAGGCCAGCTACGACTCCAACAATGTCTGGAGCATTTCACTCGGGAAGAAGTCCTTGATGGAGATGAGAAACCAGTAAGTTTAAGAGGATTGACCATGCAGTTTTTCTTCCATTGAAATTTTCATACCAAGAAATCTTCTTTACTTTTGTTTGAAATGCTTGAATTTTTCAGACTTGTGCCAAATGCCAAACACGAAGGAAATGCACCAAGAGCTTCTCCATTCAGAAGTTCCCCAAGATTCTTGTACTTCGTATCCTTTTAAACCCTCTAAGTGATTTCATTTGGTCATTTCTTATCAATGTTTTTTTTTTTTTTAAACTTTGTAGCCAGTATTTCCTTAACACAATTTTAGATTTGAAGCGATTTTCGCCAATGGAACGGTTTAGAGGGAAGCTTAATGTCACTGTTGAATTCCCTCTCAACGGGCTTGACTTGAGTGCATATGCTGCCAACCGAGGACGAGGCTGCACATACAATTTGTATGGAATAGCAAACCATTCTGGCACCACCTACTCTGGCCATTACACAGCATACTGCAAACATCCATACACCCATGAATGGCATGAGTACAATGACTCAAGGTAAATTCAATTTTAGTTTTCATTTTTCTTAGTGTGTTAGCTTGTGAATAATAAAATCTCACGACTTTTCTGGTTTTTTTCTTTTCAGAGTCTCCAGCATTACATCTCGGAATGTCATATCCAGTGAAGCATATGTGTTATTCTATGAATTGTCTGGTCACACTTCACATTTGTAACATTTGAGTTGATATACATTGATCTGTTTTCTTATAGTGTGAGTTGATAAAATTTGGATGGTTTCTTAAGTTTGTGATATCTAATGAAAAATTTATGTGAAGGGAGAGGAACTATTTCATATTTTATTTATTTCTTATTATTTATTGTGAATAATTAATGGGTTCTGACCAGGAAGATTTTGAGAGAATCTTAGTAAGAGCATGAGTGCACGAAAATGCAAGTTCAGATTCAAAATTTCTTGGTAGTTTTCAAGTCAGCGGACACAAGGTTCTACCTGTAAATATGCTTGATGCCTAACATCGAAATTTAATAGCCTTTTAGGTAACTTCAAAATGAGCGCAGTTGCACTGTGATTTCATTATTAGGTCAATACATTATTTGATGCAATTCTCACCTCTACTCATAACTGCAAAGACATTAATGAAACATAGGGCTTAGCACCTTAGAAAATGACTATATTTTTCACTTGTACACCATGTTCTTTGTATGTTAATGCTGTTTATTTAAAATCTTTGTCTCAAACTGTTGTTTGTTTAGAGCTGGTCACAATAAGTGTGTCAAGCTAGCAATGGAGAGTACACATTCCATGAACTTGACATGCACTGCTCCCAGTTCACTAAGTTTTTGCTACTTTTCTTTCTTTAGCATAGCTGCTTTTAAAATTGTTTTGCCTACACCTTGGCAAAATCTTCAAATGATAGGGATTTTTTTAGACATAATTTTGCAATTTTTGAACAAAAAAGAAGAAAAAAAGGAACTTTGCTACAACAGAATGTGAGCGTTGCTCAAGTAGTGTCTGTAAGGGATGGTTTTAATACTACGTATCAGGTTGTTATTTGATGCTGCTATTTGGTTGATTGTTGAGCCAGGCCAAGTACCAATGCTGTTTTATTCTTTTTCCTCCATTGAGTGATTGTTCTTTTGAATGGACTTTGCGGCAAGTGCCATCGCATTATCTTCAGTTTATTGACTTGTACTCTATTTTATTCTCACTAATGTTTCCGGCCTGGCTATGGTTAAGTTATGAATAGTGGATTCTAGTCCTATTTATTCAAGTTCCAATTTGAACTTTTGGTTAATTTTATATAATATATTTAATTCTGTTTTTGTGACAGATTCTTTAATTGAGACAAGGGTTTCCTTTTTGCTGACAATCCATGATGGAATGCTATTGCTCTAGAAGTCATGACTTCTAGCAGTTATTTGTATTTTGTATTTTTTACAAAAATTAAAAATTTGTTGGAAATATGTTGGTTGCTATTGAGTAATAGCCAAAAGTCAAATATACATTGTTGATATCTTTTGTTTTCAGTGATAGCTTAAGTATTGTTATATTTTTGTGTGTAACTAGTACCACAAGTCAATGGTTCTGTGAAGTACAAAGCAAATACCAGATGCTGCAAATTAGTGTGATACAAACAAAAAAAGGGGATTGAATATTATGAGTCACAGAAATACCATTGACCATTCATAATACTATCTTTTAGTGATCAGAGGATATTTTAATTATGAATTCCCATGTTAATTGGAGAACTCATTGTCAATCTGGCATGTCAGATTGTACCTCAGACTTCAGTTACATGAATCTAATTGTTAAATACCGAGCGGTAAACTGCAGTATCCCAATCCCCGATCCCTGATCTGTTTCTACACTTAGTGTTACCAAACACTAAAATAAGAGAAAGGATGATGATGACTTGGATTTCCTCCTAGGAAATGTTGGCGTACCAAACTGGTGATTACATTTATTCTTGGTACAGAGGAAATTTTCATTCTTACTGATGTAAATGATATTTTACCATGAACTTGATTGTTGATGTCATACCATCAGTCAAGTTTGAATATTTTTTTAAATTGGGAAATCAAATTGTGGAAGAGTGTACATAGATGTTAATGTTTATGTTCTATAGATTTATATGTACAGTATTTTTTTTCATGTTGTGATGGATTTGGCATGAGATTTTTGGAACAAAGTAGAGTAGTCATCATTATAAATTTATTGTAAGGCTTAGAGAGGTATCCACATTTTAGTTCTATTATTGTTCCTGCCATGAGTGATTTTGATGTGGAAAAAAAATTTAATACCACTTTTTTGTTTTTGGTTCTCAACTGTCTGTTTCCCAAGCTGGCCAAATAAAATTGTGGCAATGATAAATTTGTTATGTTTTAAGAAATATGTGCAAGTGTGTTTTCTGTGCAAGTGAGAGAAATTGCCATTGTATCTCTCCTAGTCATGATAATGAATTTCTGCTAACACAGATATCATTACTCTTTTTGTTCATGTATGGATTGATTGAGAGAATGGAGGAATGGAGAAAATTTAGTTCGTGTTGGAGTGAGTGATATTTTTCAGCGCATGCTGGCTAGTATCTAAACCTGCATATGCGAATAAACTCAAAGGAAAGCTATTTGTGCTCATCTGTCATTTATTCACATCTCTCCCTTACAAAAACACGCACACTTCGTCGCTTCAGCCACGGCTGCATGCGCCGCACCGGCTGTAGCGCTCAATTTGAATTTCGCGACTTTCCTGTGACCGCTGCCCCACTGCTCCTTGCAGAGCCCCAACACGTCGGCTCTGCTCGGCACTGCCGGAGTCCAAGAGTACTCGCACTGCTCAGCGCGAACACCTCGGGCGTGTGGTGGGCGGCCTACCTGTCGGGCGCTGAGCGCGCTCGGCAACACTCCCCGTGGGCGCGGTGCCTCGACGCGGCGTCTCCCCGCCCCGCACGCGCCGCCCCGCCCACGGCACGACACCGCGGTGCGCGTGTGCGCACACCATGGGCAGGGTGCAGGGCGCACACACAATCCCCTCGCGAGCGTCCACAAATAGCCGAACCGCCGCAGCACCGCGGCGACGACGGCGACGCGGTGCGCAGCCGAGCCGGCACAACGGTCGCACGCAACGCGGCCGCCGCGCACATGGCGGAGCAGGCCTAGACGGCGTAGACCGTCCCCCAGCCCGGCCAGTCGAACCTCGCCTCGACCAAGTGACCGCGTGCAGGGTGCAGGCCGCCTCCGGGCCGCCTCCAGGATGCCGGTGGCCGTCGACTCGGAGCGCGGCTTCTTCCGCGCCGCGCACCGTCGCCTGGCCGAGGCCCTGTCGTCGCAGCAGCTGCAGGAGTTCGCCCGGCTGAGCTCGGACCAGGACCGCTTCCAGTGGCTATGGGACGTCCGCGCTGCGCACGAGGTGAGTGCCAGGGCCGGTGACCCGCGGCCGCAGCCGTGATAGGGGTCGCGAAGCGATCGTGAACCTCCCCCTGCCAATGCCACGCCCCTCACCCTCCCCTTCAGTTTTACCAGGGTATCTGTTTACACGTTATAGTTGGCACTGGTGAATCTTGGTTATGGCACAGACGCCGTGCAGCTTCTCGGCGATGGACAAGGACCCAGAGCAGGCCAAGCAGTTCAAGAACGACGGCAACACGGCGTTCCAGAAGCAGGACTACAGGGCCGCCACCAGGCTGTACTCCAAGAGCATCCAGCTCATGCCAGGTCGGTCATTCGCACAGATATGCGCGTGTTTACGTGTATGTGGATTAACATGGGAAAAGTTGAACCCTTGGCCGTTCTGGTTGCGTGCAGCCGACTCCAGCGACCTGTCGGTGGTGTTCGCCAATCGGTCCGCTGCACTGTATCACCGCGACGAACACCAGCTGGCCCTGCAGGACATAAAGATGGCCCTCGACCTGGGCTACCCCAAGAACCTTCTCTACAAACTGTATGACAGGTGAGAGGCACGCCAGCGCTGGCACGGGCCGGGTAAGGATGTGCCGCCAATCTTGGGCAGGGTTTGAACGCGCGGCCTCTGCCTTTACGGCGTGCTTACAGGCAGGCCCGCTGCCTCCTGGCGCAGAAGCAGCACAGCGCGGCGCGCGAGGCCTTCCGGCAGACGCTGGTCTCGCTGGACGACTCCCCGCTGCCGCTGGACCGCCGGCGGAAGTGGCAGATGGACGTCCAGATCATGATCAGCATGTTCGACAAGTTCCAGGACATCCGCGACGAGCCGCTCACCCCCGCCATGGTAAGCAGCGCGCACTCTGTAAAACGCCGAAGCGCGCACAGTGCACAGCCGGACAGCCCTCTGCAACTACTTGTGGCTCGTGTGGCCGGCGTGTCACTGTGGTGTCACTGTGGTTTGGCCGCAGCTGGGGCAGCCCAAGACGCCCCCGCCGGCGTCCCGCCTGTTGCTCGGCCCGCACCGCCAGCAGCGCGCCAACGGCCGCGACGGGCTGGTGTCCGCGGCGCTGCGCTTCCACGAGAAGGACGACCAGGGCGACGACGGACAGGGCCGCCACGTGACGGCGGACCAGGACATCAAGGCGGGGGACTTGTTGCTGACCGAGAGGCCCGCCGTCGCCGTGCTGCTGCAGGAGAGGGTGCACACGCACTGCTTCCAGTGCTTCAGGCGGTGAGTGCCAAGGCAGTGGACGCACCCTGCAAAGCTCCCTCGGGTAGGCAATCGGGCCGGTTGCAGGCATCCGAGCGCGGCGGGTTGCCTATCGCTCATTCGCAGGCGCTCCATGGCGCCTGTCGGGTAGGCAATCGGGCCGGTTGCAGGCATCCGAGCGCGGCGGGTTGCCTATCGCTCATTCGCAGGCGCTCCATGGCGAAGCCTCACTTAAGACATGTTCCTGCTCTGCTTTGGTCTCGCGGCTCGGCCGGGCAGGTTGCGAGTGCCGGTGGCGTGCCCGCGCTGCTCCGCCGTGCTGTTCTGCGGCGCGGAGTGCCGCGACGCGGCCGAGCGGACGCACCACGGCGTGGAGTGCGGTGTGCTGCCGCTGCTGTGGGGCTCGGGGGCGTCCATCACCTGCCTCATGGCCTTGCGCGCCATCTCCCAGCTGCCCAAGGGGGTGAGTCGAGTCGGACTGCCAATTCAAGCGATGCAGGTCCGTCACTCGTCAAGTCGTGTTGATCTGATTGAGTGAATGCAGGCGGCTCCCAGCGAACGCGTCATGTCGCTGGTGACGCACTCGGAGCGGCGGCAGCCCGAGGACCTCCTGCACCGCACGCACATGGCCGTGTTCCTGACGCGCTGCCTCCAGACCAGCGGCCACGCCGGTGAGGGTAGGTAGTTCGACTGCACCCAGTGCACCCCCACAGCAGCTGACTCGCCTTCTCCCTGACGACCCTCCTTCCGCCCTGCAGGAGACGCCCTCATGACGACGGGCGCGCGGCTGCTGACGCTGCTGCAGCTGCTGCAGTTCAACGTGCACGAGGTGTCGGAGCTGGAGGTGAAGGCGCCGCGGGCGTACGGCACGGCGTCGTCCAACTTCGTGGGCGCGGCGCTGTACCCGACCCTGGCGCTGTTCAACCACTCGTGCGACCCAGGCGTGGTGCGCTACTTCTGCGGCAGCGCCGTGGTGGTGCACGCCGCGCGCGGCATCCGCGCCGGCCAGCCCGTCAGCGAGAACTACGGCTTCTGCTACACCAACAAGCCACGCCGCGAGCGCCAGGACTGCCTAAGGCAGCAGTACTGGTTCAGGTGAGTGCCACCAGTCTGCTTTTGGATGAGGCGGACTTGTGAGAGTACGGCTCGACTTGAACGTGACTACAACTTGTGAGCGCACTGCTGCGCACTGCCCGCAGCTGCCACTGCCAGGCCTGCGAGGAGGACTGGCCGCTGCTCAAGGACATGGACCAGAACAACGTGATGCGCTTCCGCTGCGACCCGGGCGGGCCGTCGCCGTCTCGCTGCAGCAACGCCATCATTGTGCCCACCGACACCTCCAACTTTATGGTGCAGTGCCCCGCGTGCCAGCAGCACACCAACATCCTCAAGGGGCTCAAGGCGCTGCAGGTAAGCCAGAAGCCACACGGCCACACCCGCGGACCTTCTGCTCTCGTTAGTTTCGCCTTCATTTTCGTGACGGCAGCCGCAACACTTGTGCAGCGTCTCAAGTTACAATTTCTTTTCCAGGATACTGACAGCATGCTGAAAATAGCCCAGAGTTTCTTTTCCGAGGGTAATTTATCCGACGCCCTGGATCGGTATCTTAAAATTTTAAATCTTTTGGAAGAGACTCTGATGCCACCCTTTATGGATTACGCACTCTGCCAGGACAATATTCGCATGTGCTTGGTTGCTCTAGGAGAAGATGTGGTGGTAGCAGGTGCTTCTTAAAAAGGCAGATTTGATTTATAAAGCAAATGCAATAAATTTTGTTTCAAAGTTGATTATGATTAGCATGTATTTCACTTACTTCAGCTACATTTATCAAAAAATTATAATACAAGACATAAAAATTACAAAAATTAACACTAAGAAAAACCAAGGAGTCTCAACCTTATTTTACATTTTGGAATTGGCTCAATGGAGAATGCAAACGAACCCTCTCAATTGACATTATCTTTAAATTTTAAAGAAATGGAATCTCATAAAAGGTGCACTCCTGCAGAATTTGTTTTCTTAAGCAAAGCAACAATGTTTTTGTAAGACAAAATCTGCACTATAACACCTATGAGCTTTCATCACGCTGCTCCTCTGGAATAGCCTCCAAGTTTAGCCAAGATTGTTCCACCACTGTTGCAACTCTCTTCTCGTACTCGCGTTTGTTTTCCTGATATAGTTGGGCTGCTAGTGAATTCGCAGGTGAATTGGGATTTGGCTCATCAAGAAGTGACTGCAACATAGATTTAGAGAAGGTTGAAAACATATAGTAAACTCAATTGATTAATTGCCGAAAGCAAGAGAGAGACAGAGAGAGAGAAAAAAAAGGAAGAGCCAACATCACACATAAACCGACTAGACATTACCAACTCAATGTTGTTCAAATGAGTCCTGGCAGGGGTAGGAATGAAGTAATTCATCGGAGAATTAGTTCTTAATGAATTTATTCATACACTAGAAATATACATACATTTCACAACATAATAGTTTAATAAAAACTTTTTATGTTCCTGTGCAATTAAAAAACTTTCAAGGCAAATTCTCAGAATCAAAATATTTTAGAAAAACAAAAAACAAAACATGTTAGGAAACTAGTCAGATTATACTGATAGTATAGAAAAAATAAACCATAATAAGCTGGTGTACCTGAGTAAGAACAAAAGATCTTGTAGGTAAAACTTGAGACAGACATTTGAAGGCAAGCACTTAACAAGTTCTGCTTGCCCTCAAGCTGTCATTAACATTTTCCATACACCACCAATGTGAATTATTTTAAACATGGTTGGTTCTGTTTTCTTCTGGCAAAGAACTGAAAGCTCTCTTTATCACATCTATATATAATTACATTTATCACGAGACATCGCTCTTTAGTCTATGACATGACGCACATAACATTGAAAATCAATTGAAAATCAGGCTCCCTTTCTAGATTTTTTTTTTAAATAAAAGGGGACTAATTTGAAGGTAGGGGAAAGGGGAAATAGTAGACTTGATAGTGCAAGAGTCTGGTTTTCCTACAGATACCAGTTTAGACTGGCCCATCGGAAAGGCACTAATCCAGAATCCGGACTACAGAATTTCATCTTTGGTGCCAAGCAAGTTGTGGAAGGCAAATTGGTTCATTGCAATGCCCACTGCAAAACTCACAGACAAGAAAAGCAACCTCAATAACAGGAAATCACAAATACACTAAGAAAAAAATAAAAAACTGAAGAAATGAAAAAAACCTTTTCTAAGCCATAGAATATGAGACTCATAATTGAATGTTTAATTCAACTGCTCCTCCACGACTTAACAGCACAGTGTTTCTACAGATTGCAATTTCAATTATAACCTCAGTTTATCATGTGCTACTTATTACTCATATCATTGTTTGATATGGAGTATGTGAACATTCCATTCTTTTAAGTTCAATTCCTCATACAAGAATTTCTTTGTTAAAACTTGCATTGGCAATTTTAGTACGATTAGTCTATTGGAGCAAGGCTAGGGCAAAGAGTATTTTAAGTAAACGAAAGGGAGCAGAGAGGAAACACATAGCAATAATTTAAGCAAGCGGATGGATCATTGGCTAATGGGTCTGTTACACTTGGAGCTATCACAGATACCTGCTGAACTCATTTCAAAGGCCCAGTTGAGTGAGCTCCAGTTTAATCATAAAGAAATGGAAATTCACCACACACATTTTGCCACTTCAGAGAAAAAAAAGACAATAAAAAAAAAGGTACTAAAACAAATGAGCTCTGCAAATTATTCTGCTATTGCAATCTTATTTGGTGCAAAGTAGACAGATGTTCCAAAATTGCTCCCGGCAAGTCCACCCGAGTAACACTGATTCAATTCAGCAGCTCTTCACTCTCACATATTTTTTTAAATCATATTTTTGTCTTAGTTTTTGGTAACACAGAAGAGGGGAAATCACTAATAAACTATGCTTTTAAGCAAAAATCTTCAATCCAATTAGCCAAATTTGAAGGAGTGGTCACTAGTCTACAAAACTTTGCTCCACGCAGGCTTTCACTCTTTTTTCATACTCTCTTCGGTTCTCTTTGTAAAGTTGAGCCGCCATTGAGTTTGCAGGAGAGTTCGGATTTGGATCACTTAAGAGAGACTGTAAGGAAAACAGAATACAATACCATTAGAGTTACTACAAGGGGAATACTTCTTCTGAACTAAATTTAAGCCTCTAGGTATTAGTCACTCCTTTAAATCAACAGTGTTGTTACTGTAGCAGTGAGTCATGCTCCTAGTCTCAGACACAAACATATTTTTTCTTTCTTCATTCTTTATTTGTACAATCACATTCCTCCACTTTATTTGTACAATTTAAGTTGAACATAGCCTATTGTGATGATTTGATGCCAAGATCAACAAAAACAGTATTGGAAACCACCATTAGTCTTCAAAATTGCTTGTAGAACCATTTTCCAAATCAAGGACAAACACACTGTGTGATGTTGGCTCTCCTAGAAGTGAACATGCGGCAGCTGCACTAGCCCTCACAATCATGGAGATTCCTTTGCACTAGACTACCAAAATTAATTTCAGAATACAAGTCAACCCACTAAAAGGCATGCAAGAGACATAAAGCTACGGAGAGTAGCTTTCTTTCGGTGGTTTAACATCAACACCTCAGAAAACAAAATGACCATGCAAGGAAAATTTTAATCTAAATGAGCTATTGGACATTTGTGAGTTCAAACATCTTTACTCCTCATCCCCAATAAGAAAAGTTACTTTTAAGAAATAGAAAAGCATGCAGGTTATTATTTATCAAAAATGAATTTTCCTTATTAAAATGTGCACTATCCAGAAATCCTACCTGTATAGATGTAAGGATGGCAGAAACATCATAAGTAGGACTCCACCGATTCTGAAGGATATCCAGACAAATTCCACCGTCTGCATACACATTGGGATGGAACATTTTTGACACAAATCTCACAGTGGGAGGTTTGTTGGGGTACTCTTCAGTAAATTCTATTGTCAATTTGAAAGTACCATCTTCAAATGGGGTATCATGTGGCCTGCAATGACAAACGATAAATCATGAAAAACCATAAACAAGATAAATAGATTTAATTAATGCCGGATCTTAAAACATAATCTCTATCGTGAATCAATCCTTACAACAAATTTTAAATCTTACTTAAGATTTTTGAAGATCAAAATACGTACCCAAATATCACAGCATTCCATATCATGATGTTGTTGTCAGTGGGAGCTCCACTTACCCCTGTGGGTGGATCTTCCTGCAGTCTGCAAAACAAGTTCACATAAATTAGTCAAGGCCAACAATTGACAGCTTCAAAGTCCTGTCTGATAGAAAAATAAAATAAATCCAAAAATATGTTGACAGTTTAGAGAGTAGAAAAAATTTTAAAGAGATCTATGGCAACTTACAACTCAGTGAAAGCCAATACATACAAAGACAAGATTTCTTATAAGTCAAAAGAAAACATTTAGATACTCAGATAAAACAAAAAGGACCAAGGACACTTACATACAAAGGTGTATGCTTATTTCTGCAGGATGAGTCATGCATAAAAACTTCGAGTGCATTGATTGAGTTGAAGATGGAATGAAGGGTTAATGGAGGGTGGGAGTGGAGAGAAATGGGTTCGATAGAAACTTGAACACGCAATCAAATAAAGTGACAGAAGCAGTTTACTGTGAGGAGAAATCGAAACCTAGTGGTACCTTAACCTTCTTTCAAAGTTGACTAAGAGCCTTTGTTTGGATTGAAAAACACAATGGCAGTATACTTGGCCTATCACATCATCGATTGGGAAAAGGGTAATATGATAAGAGCAAGAGTTTCAAAAATTTCTAAAATTTAAGAAAGTGAAACAAAACAGCAACTATTTTCATCTGGTTGAAAAGTTGACACAGATCCTGGGCTAGGACTCCCTACAACCTTGAGAGCTTTCCCAACTCACCTCTTAAAATCTCGCATTAAACGCCTTCGCGCTGGTGTAGACATTACAGACAATGAAAATTAACCTCTTGATAATCCTAAACTACACAATGAAATAAATAAAGGCTCTGAATAAACAAATAACAAGTAGACGTCGAGATCTTCGTGCTTGGATGTGCTTGGATGTGTAGGCTTAAATCTTGAAATGCTCCTTGTCTGGCACGTTCACAAATGATGGCGATGTCGATAGTGGTGGGGGAAGTCAAGTAGGGTTCGGAGAGCTATATCTTTTTATTTTAGGTTCTCGGTGATTGCCAACGCCTTTTCATGATTATTCTGTTTTCTTGAAATTCAAGAACACCAATTGTCTCTGGGATAGATCAGATCGAAGAAAATGAATAAGTTTTGTGTGTTGGCCAGTGTGTCGGTCAGTGTGTCAGTGTGTTGGCACACTCGCGGAATGCCGAGCCACATCCGGTCATTCTCGCCCCGCCCCGCCGCTTGTTGTGTCGCCTAGCCTCGCCATGTCGCCATGATGTGTCTGTGTCTTTGAAATCGGATCGGCCGAGTCAAGTTTATGGCGTTTATTAAATTGTGCGAATTGGAGGGCTTGTATTAATCTGAATCCACGCCCATTCACACCCCCATCTCTGTTGGAAACATGTGAGTTCTCCGATACTTACTTCTTGGGCAATGCTTCAAAGAAGGACTGCTCCCCAAGCGCTTATCTAGAAGTTCACACAATAATTGATTATTCTAGTTTCCTCCTTTACTAGCTTCTATTTTGTTTATTTTTTGAATTTCAAGGTACCGTTGATTGACTAGAACGTCTATTATTTATAATCGTATGGGTTGACTCCATCTTGTTATTAATTTATGTGGTTAAAGTTCATGTTTGTAGCTTCACAGCTACTGTAGGAAAAGATTCGAATCGTACTCCAGATTTATCTCTAATATTCTTGTCATTTCATTCTCTTTTCATTATCGTCAATTTTTTCTTTTGCTTTGTGTATAATTAATACTGTGTGAGTTGGTACACGAAAACATGAATTTAATGATAAATGGCAGAAAGCATTTCGCTGACATTTGCTTACAATTTTACAGATCACCCTTCTATTTCAAAATGACGGTTGGATCAGCTGTTAGACCACGATGTTTCTTCGATGTGGAGATCGGTGGAATACCTATGGGTCGCATTACCTTTGAACTGTACACCGATATTTGTCCAATAACATGTGACAATTTTAGAGCACTATGTACAGGGGAGAAAGGATTGGGAAAGACCTCTGGAAAACCACTTCATTATCAAGGGATTGTCTTCCATCGTGTTGTACGAGACTTTATGATTCAGTCTGGAGATTTCACTGTTGGAAATGGGACTGGTGGTGAGAGTATCTATGGAGGAACTTTTGAAGGTATTTGTTTTATTGTCTTTTTAATTGAATCTTAAATTTTAACCTGTGTTAATAACTTGCTCATGCTGTTTAACAATATTTCAGATGAAAACCTGGAAATGAAGCATGATGAGCCATTCCTTTTATCCATGGCAAATAGGGGCCCCAACACCAATGGATCTCAGTTCTTCATGTGAGTTTATGTATTCAAGTTTCTTGTATTCACTTATTTTACTTTCTGTCTCTTGCTAATGTGCTCTCTGTGCATGTTTTTAGGATAGCTGCTTGGTTTTAGCAGTGTCTTTGTATGCCTATGTCAAACCTTGTATAATTTATTTCGTTTCTTATTCATGAATTTCTTAGTGACATTCTTCTTTAGAAATGTGTTTGAGTGCACAAAGTAGACATCACAAGGGTCTCCATCTTACTTTATAAATTATTAAATATAATTTAAAGAGTTGCCTTTTTGCCTTTCTTCAATGTTTCAATCAAACTTTTAGCTGACATTTGGCCCATAATTTTGTTGAGGTCTGGGCTCATGTGGTGTTTGTTCTTGTGCACTATGTAGTGGACTTGATGGCAGCCTGGGTTGAGGGTTGAAGGACGAGTGTCAACATCGCCCGTCCCGTCCTCAGCGAACGAACGTGTCTACCGTATCAGTGCCGTAATTATGTTTTGTTGTGTCTAGAACTACGCAGCCTGCACCACACCTGGATGGGTAAGTTGTATTCAATTTGATTGTTTATCTTTATGTACCTTAGTCAATTACGAATAATTCAGCTAATTGATTCTTTTTCTTCTGTTATGTGCAGAGTTCACGTGATCTTTGGTCATGTTGTGTCTGGGAAAGAAGTCGTGACCCAAATTGAGATGCTTCCAGTGGATCGTAATTCACGCCCCCTTCAGGATGCCAAGGTCAGCAAGTGTGGAGAACTTGTACTTCTTTCAAAATCCAAAGGTAACAGTTTGTCACATTTTTGTTTGTTTGTCTCATTGCACAACCAATATTTACTTCTTTCCTTTACCTTTGCAGATAAAAAGAAAAAGAAGAAATCCAAAAAAGAAGAATCAGAAGGGTCAAGCTCAAGTTCTGAATCATCATCAGATGAGAGTGGTTCTGAAGAAGAGAAAGAGAGCAAAAAAAAGAAAAAGAAACTGAAAAAGTTAGCTCTTTGAGAAATACCGTGTGCTCCTTGTTTGATTACATTTTTGTAAATGTTTGAAACTGTTTCTTTCAGGGAAAAAGCAGCAATCAAGGAGGAGGAAGAAAATGAAGAACCAGAGGAATATCATCCTCTTGTTACTGTGTCTAAGATCGATCCTGCTGAAATTCCTGAAGTTCCCTCAAATAAGTTTCTCTACCGTGGAGATGGCAGAGAAAGGGACTTCAAAAGAACACGTGATTATGACCGAGGAGGAAGGTCTGAACAAGTTTACCGGGACAACCGGGAACACCGAGGAGATAGATCAGAGAAAGGGAAAGCTAGGGGCACGACCAAAAGTGGGCGTGTAATTAAAGGCCGTGGAGTGTTTGTAAGTGTTTGTTACTTGTATTATTGCTTTCCATTTAGAGATTAGTTTCCTTGTCTGGCCATAATGAAACTCAACTTCTGTTCCTGTTTTCTCTTCGCTCTATTCTTATGCTCTTTTACCAAATTTTCTCAGCGTTTTCGGACACCATCTAGGAGCCGATCTCGCTCACGAAGTGCCACTCCACCCCATTGGAAGCAAGCTGCACGACGCACAATCAAATTGAGTGAATTTGAGGTAAGTTCCTGACCATCCTTCAATGTTCTTCATTCGTAAAGGAACTCCATTTTCATATTTTCTACATTCCAGCGAATGGAATCGGAACGCAAGGCCAAGGATGATGAGATTGCAAGGCGAGAAGATGCCCGTAAAAAACGCCATGATGATCGTCAGCGTGAACAAAAGGAACACTTTCAAAAGTTGAGACAAGAAGCGGAGCAACACTTTCATAGGTACATTTTTATGCAATGCTACAGTTATTTTTTCAGCAGAGGTGCTCATGTTCTTACTATTGTTATTGTTTTGTTATTTAGTTCTAGATCTAAAGATCATCATGATGGAGCCCGCAAACAAGAAGAGGAGCGCCATCAAAGCAAGAAACCAAGTGCCAGCAAGAGTGGTGATAATATGGCATCAAACTCTGGTGGGCCTCTTGACTTAAATGCTTTGGACTATGAAACAATGGAACTTGGTGATGAAGAAGATGTTAACAAAGGGAGTGATGGGGAAGCCAGAGGGCTACATCGCAATGGCAAACCTTCAGACCAAAGGAAAGCATCAGATCGGGAAAAAGCATCTGACAGATCCAGAAAGCGAAACAATCAAGACGAAGACAGAGGTTCTCACAAACAAAGCAGCCAGTCTCACAGAAGTTACACAAGCTCCAAAGACAAGATACGACTTGAAAAGCGTGAAAAAGATAGAAGGAACGCAGAAAAATTGGCAGAAAGTGATGATGATCTTGAGAAAGAAAAGGAGCGGCTTAAGGAATTAGAGAAGTTAAAACAGAGAATGGAACTGGAGTTGGCTAAAGAAATGAAGGAAAAAGAGAAAGGAAGGGATGGGGATAAGAGGCGAGATAAGGATAGAGATGATAGGGAGAGAGGGAGAGAGAAAGATCGTGAAAGGGAGAAAGAAAAAGAACATCTGAAACGCAGAGAAGATGATCGCAAGAAAGAAGAACAGAAGAAGCGAGAAGATATGCGTCGTAAGGAAGAAGAACGTAGGAGGAAAGAGAGAGAAGCCAAAGAGAGCAGAGATCGGCATGATAAAAGAAGTGAGGAACGCAATCGTGACAGAAACAAGAGAAGGAGGTCTCGCTCTAAGTCTAATACAGACCGCAGTAGAAAACGGGGAAGACGTCATTCCAGCTCATCATCATCTTCTTCTTCTAGTAGTAGTAGCAGCAGCAGTGATGACCGCCGCAAGAGGCGTTAAGTGGCATTCTTCCATATTATTTGGAAGTGGATTGTAGTCATTCATTGAAGTTGCCGTGAGACAGATTTCTGTATTGTAGGTGCAAGTGTGATTGTATCTTTTATAAGCAAGACTTGATTCAGTTATTGGATCTTAGTTCTTGCTCAAACTACCTCCATCAGCATCAGAGTGTCAGCATTGATTACACTATTGTATTTTGTAGCTAGGGTTTGCCACATTTTCTCTTATGTTTTACCTTTGCTTTGAAGGTTGACATGGACACGTGCCTTGATCCGGTGTGTTGTATGGAGGCCAAATTAAGTAAATGCTGTTACTTCCACAATACCCTCTTGAATGATGTGGAACATGACAGTTTACTTACTCAGTATCTCTATCTCATTTTTATTGGAACTGTTTGTAGGTTTGTTGTTTTAGTAGATTCATGATAATTATGTATACTGATTATCACCGCCATGATGTTAAAATGATGTGTCAGGCAAAACTTCCCTATTTTTTTAACTGTCAAAACTGAACTGTCTGATCTAAAATGCACCAATTAAAGTTTCGTTGCTCATCTTTGCTTCCCATTTCTTTTTGGTTTTACAAACTTGAGAACACAGTCTCAGAAGGATGACTCGCTTCGCTCCACTACAGCACAAAGAACAAAGTCAAATGAAAAGTAGTCACATTTATTATTTTCATTTCAATGTAAGAGAATCCAAGTGAATTATTGGGGTTGTATTACACGCCTTGAAATCAATTACAAACGTTCAAATTGAATACCAACAGTTAGCTGAAGACAGCGACTGCTTGATTATTAATTAAAAACCTATAAAGCCGCAAAGGTAACAACAGTCCACCTTCAAAAACACACACACTTTCACTCAACACAACACATACAAACAGGCATACCATATTCATTCACATCCTAACAAATAGACACATTTCATAGAACTACAGTAGTACAATGTGAACAATTTTTTTTACAAATGCCATAATTTTTCTAATTCAGTTGTAGAGTATGCGGTACAATACTACATTTTCTGGAGTAGGAAAGCATGAGGAACCAGGAAACTCATTTACTACAGCACTGATGACATTGTATAGATTCATAACGGAACCAAACCTTCAGCACAGCACAGTTATTACAAGAGACCCGGAGAAATAAACATAATAGTAAAAACTAGCACCATTACAAAGAACTGATGGATAATGTTTAGGTCACTTAGGCAAATCTTTACCAACCAAATAACCAGAGTTATAGAATATAGATAGGAGTCTTACAAACACTATTTACATACAAATTTTACATTTTTAAACAGGGAAATACAACATAAACACACTGTCTCAGACAAATCACTTCATATTTACACAGGTATTTAGCTAATAATGTCTATACTTATTCTTAATTTTACGTTTGGACAAAAATAGCAAATAAATAATTTAAGTGATGTGCTTTCCAACAGTATAAGTATGATGTGCCTTTTACAAACAACAGGGAAAAAAAGGATACCTTTCAAAATAACAAATAAATATTGATCCAAGGGAGGAAAAAAGAGAGAGGCAGAGACATATTGAAAAGGCATGGCAGGTACAGCTAAAAATAAATCAAATCCTACAGAAAAACAGAGTCAAGAAATATAATATCAAAGAAAGCTAGTGAGATAAAGCAAATTTACACTGCTTTTATCACATTGGACAACAACTGTGCTTCTAGACACAGAACCCCTACATTGGGTGCCCTAGAATTACAATAAATCAAATAATAAGATTGAAAAAAAAATACTGTTAAATATTATCAAAACTTCAAACTTACATTAAATTTTTATAAGCAACATTAAAAACAACCATAAAAATTCATTTGGGACTGGCCCACTTCATTTAATCCCTTGCCATGAAATAAAATAATTCTCGTTAAAGCAAAGGGAACAGAACAAGATGGAAAACGAAAGGAGGAAATGTGATGGGGAGAGAGACCAAAAAGAGCATAGAATTTTGGAGTGACTAGTGGCCTAACTCTGCATTGCAACTAGAGAACTGCCACCTACACAGTATCAATGTACAAATTAATCTTATCATATCTGTCTACCAGTTTGTGCCCTTGATGGGATATGATGCACCAGCAAAGAAAAATCAGAAATTAAGCAAAACCATCAAGCTATAGTACTAGAGAGAAAAAAAAAAACAGTAACAGGGAGATGTCTTTTTACCTCCAGGGTATTGCAAATGTAACAAATATGTTTGAGACAACATAAATAATTAAACTGATCGGTCCCATCAAGAGATACACATGCATAAAATAAACAGTGGAACGATCTATTAGTGGGCAGTGCACACTTGCCACAACCATGGCAAAAAACCTAAGTAAGTAACATGCACATAAAGTAAACAGTATTGAAACAACCTTATCAAATACTTTAAAGGCAGAGAAACCAACAAAGAACAGAATATGAATAAATAACAGGAAAGTCACATTGTGCATTTTGAACACAAATCACAGTATGCAATGTCTCATGTTCCTCTGTACAGATGAAAGTTGGTAAAATAAGTGACTTTTCATGAGTAAAACAACACCATGAAAAAGAAAAGAAAAAACAACAACAAAGGTATAGGACTTCCAAGTCCCTCTTAATACCAAATACTGCATAAATAGGTCCTTGTCTTAAATAAATCCAGGTTATGAAAAAAAAATTCAAAACCTACCAGCAGATTTGAATGAAATATAAATAACTCACAAATAGTACAACAAATGCCTTACATATTTTGGATTTTGGACCCTTCTCTCATACAGAAAAAAGAAATAATTGCTCATTTTTTGCAACTAACACAGAAGGCAAAAACTTACAGAACTGCTGGCTTTGCCTTAATTGTTCCACAGTAGACTGACTGACTGCCAGATATGTTGGCACTGAGAATTGAACCAAATGACAAGACTTAATTTATGTTTTCTCAGTCTGCTAGCAAGTGCAATTATCCTGTCCCTTAATTTGGGACTAAAATCATCAGTGCAAGTTCAAGTTAAAGTGATAAAGAAGGCTCTTCCTTAAACAGTTCCCAATTGTACGAGCCTGTGAGAAATCTGCCATACTGGAAAAACCTCCAATTTATACAGGATTGAGATTATTCTTATGCTTGAAGTAAAAGCTGGCTCTTGACAGCCAAACAGCAGGTACAAAAATTGCTCTTCACAACTAGTGGAAAATCGCATTCATTGTAAAAAAGGTTTTCCATAAATAAATACTAACAAGGTACAACCTAATGTATGAATAAGCATATTCATCTTTTAAATAATAAATAACTGATCACTGAATCACCTTATAGACTCTTGTCTCAAAGAGATTATATCTAATAGACATAGAAATTTCTTTCAAGAGAGAGAGAGAAAACAACAAAAAACAGCTGTGTGCTAACTTTTAACAGAATTTCTAGTTACATACTATAAATTTCTTTCTGTGAGTATGAACGACGAGCAAAATTTTTAGGAAATAAAAACTAGTCCACAGTGGTGACACTGAAATGTAGAAGAGAAATATCTCTAGGAGTCAAATCTCATCATCAAATCAAATATACTGGAATCAGACATTCTAAAAACCACACTGCTGTTGCTTCCAGTGTCTATTAGCTACATCAAACCACTCTCTTGAATGATGCAGATTATCTATTGTGGCTGATAAGTCAGCTGAGAAGATCATGAGGGGCGAGGATGGTCTGTAGCAGATCCCACATTTTCTTCCTCGGGCAAAGAAATGCCTAACCTGCCAAGATCTGCTAGTGCAGGTAATGGTCTTCTGGGCCACACCTTCCTAGCTTTGAGTGCAGCTGCATCTTTAGCGAGCTGTTCCAACCGTTTAATATCTGGGTATATTCTTTGCTCCACCCACTCAGCAATGGTATGAGCGTCGAACACATCTCTCAGAGCATCATTTGCATTATGAGCAAGTTGAACCAAAGAGTGGTAAACGCGAGGCTGTTCCATCATAAGCTCATCTATCCGCAGGGGGCTTGTGAAGTTATGTCTCACATTATAGTCAGTCATCCACCCTGAAACAAAAAAGGAGAGATTATTGTAGAAAATCCATTCTTTCACAAATGATAATTACAACCTTGAGAAAATTGAAAGTTTTGAGTTGTTAAGTACCTTTGGCTTTGGTCACAGAATGAAGGTAGTCTCGCACTTCTCTCTGAGCATTATGTAATCGGTAAGTGAGACGGAAGAAAGAAACTCCAGGAAAAGAGCAACGATTGAACATATCCCACAAAAATGGATCAGAGTTTAGGTTTAGGAACATTGCATTTGTCTCTACTCCAGAATCACTACCGCCTAAATTTTGGCCTTCACCACTACTGTGTGCACACCCAAGAGCAGTCGTCAGTTTACCCTTCAGCGAAGGATTGATGAATCCATTAGTGACAGTGAGCATGTTTACTGCAAGTGAAGGAATAGCAGCAGGGAGCAACTCACAGAGAACAGCAAAATGATCATACCTAGAAATGAAATTATTTATTTAGTAACAAGACAGATGAATAAAAATTCAGGTACAAACCATTGAGACCAAAATTCAGTACTCACCGTTGCCATCCAGTTATAACAATTCCTTGAAATCCTTCTTTAAACTTGGGTCCTTCACTAGTCATGACTTCTAGCCACTTCAAGTTGTTTTCAAGGTGGCGTTTAATGTTTGGAATGTACATGGTCTCTCCAAAGGCTCCCTTAAATGCTGAAGCAGTCCAGGCTCGGGGAAAAACAGACGCAAACTTGTCCCAAATGATAGTTGGCACGAAGCGGTAAACATCCTCTGCATACACCCAGATCTGCAGGAAAAAGTACATACAACACATACAGACCTATCTATGACTGAAATATCATCATTTTATTTCATGTTAATGTGCTAAAATAAAAAGAAGTAAAGAGCTGAGAAAAAGTTGACGTTGGCATTACACTGCGTTGCCACTCACCATGGGCTCCACCAGGTCGCCGAGGTGGTACTCGTCCATGCTCTGCGGCGCGAGGTGCTGCAGCATGTCGTGCCAGATGATGGGGGTGACGGGGTGGCCGCGGTACGAGTACTTGCTGCGCACGTACCTGGCGACGCGCGCCACGTGGCCCAGGAACAGGTTCTCGCGCATCGTGTTGCGGCAGCGCGGGCACTCGCCCATTTGGAACACCTCGTCGCAGCCGATGTGCAGGTAGCGCACGCCGGGGTGCAGCTCCATCACCTGCGAGGGAAGGGACGTCAACGCTCTGAGGACACTGACCAGCAGAACGCGTCGCTCGACCGCAACGGCTTGAAGCAGGGGGTCTTACCTGGTCGATCATCACCTTGATGAAGTCCATGCTGGCGTTGTTGGACGGGCACAGCGCCTGGGGCGAGTCCGGCACCTCGCGGATCGAGGCGTACTTGGCGTGCTTGAGGGCGAACTCGACGTGGCCGAACGTCTGCACGAGCGGCATCACCTCCAGGCCGTTCTCCTTGGCGGACTGCAGGATGTCGCGCACGTCAGCGCGCGAGTAGGCGTTGCTGGTGGCCAGCGACTCGAGCGGGCCCCAGAAGGGGAAGGCGTCCTCCCACTCCAGGACCACGCCCGTGGCGCCGAGCTGCTTCATCAGGGCGAACACCTTCTTGATGTAGGGGACGCGCGGCGCGGCCCCCTTGAGGTCGAAGTGGGCCATGCGCTGCGGCGGCACGTACACGCGGCCCTCGGCCGGCTCGGCGCGCCGCTGCGCCACCGCGTCGCGAGAAGGCTGGTCGGCGTGCACCGCGGCCACGGCCGCCACCGCCGAGTCGCCGCGGTCCCGGTCCTCGACCACGGCGGGGACGATGACGGGGCTCTCCACCGACTGGAACACAACCGCGAGGTCAGCGCCGCGTTAGCGCCAGGCACCCCGACGCCGAGGCCACTCCTTGCCTCCACGACGAACACCCACCTTGACGAACTTGACGCCGCCGTCAGACCTGGAGCGGTCCTGCTTGTCCTGCTTGTCCAGCGCGTCGATGGCGTTGCTCTGGATGGCGGCCTGCATGGGCTGCTGCTGCTGCAGCCCCAGCGCGTTGTACTGCAGGCACAGCACCAGCAGCACCAGCGCGCCCGCGCCCACCAGCAGCGTGGACTTGCGCCGCCAGGCGGCCAGCCCCAGCCGGCCCGCCACGCGCCCCGCCACCCCGGCAGCGTCCAGCGCCATCCTGCAGCAGAGCACAGAGCTGTTGGAGAACACTACCCACTAAGTAACAAAGGGAGGCCCATGCTTGACGGAGCCGTTTGTTGAACGTTTAAACCCGCGCCACGCGGACCGAACGCCGTGGACCGAACGCCGCCTAACGGAGCCAGCAGGCTGATCCCGATCACTGCTCTCGTGACTGTCTCTCTCGCACCCTTACGAGACGACCCATGCGTGCGAGAGAGACAGACAGAGCGACGAGAGCAGTGCTCGGACTCGGTCTGCAGGCTGCAGCCACTTGGCCCGCAGCCCCCACCCCCGCCCCCTCGGAAGCCTCGTCGGCAGCAAAGCAACCCCTTGGAGAATAGATTGACTGGCCGGGCAGCGCCGGGCAGGCCGTTGGGGCCCGGCACCATTGGCACCATTGCTCGCTCGTTTGCAGTGCAGTTGGGCCAGGCCCGGGGCGCGGGCCGGGGCGCGGGCCGGGACTGCCGCTGCCAAGTCCAGACAGTCCAGACTCCAGAGCGCCTGGGGGGTAGGCAGTGCCAGGCAGCCGGCGCGCTGCAGGGATGCCTACCCCGCCGTCCACAGGCGCTCGGCAGGCCGACCGCCCCGCCCCGCCCCGCGGCTCACGCCTCCTTCGCCTCATGACCCTCCGCAATCTGGATATCGACCTGGCCTCGGCACTGCCACTACACTGCAAAACGGGGGAGCTCGAAAAATACGGGCAAAAGGTATCCTAGGCCCAAGTCCAGCCAGAAAGGCCAGGCGCACACAGGCAAACTGGAGGGAGATTTTTATTTAAACCTTTTGGAAATTAAACCAACACTGCAAACACGACTCCTGGTTTTCCCTGGCAGTCTATGGCAAAAGGCATCTATGCCTATAGGCCATTTCCAGGGAGTTTCCTTCGGAAAGCACAGACAGTTTCCACCGTTGGATTCCGAGCCCTGGCGGCACTTCCACCCTTCCACCGGGCCTCCTTTCGGCTAACATGGTCTGAAAATCCGAACCGGAGGAGCCCTACCACCTGATGGCGCCCGGGAGCTTACCTTGCTGCTGCGGAGCGGTGCGGAGCAGAGCGGCGTCACTCGGGGGCCATGGCGCTAGCGCCGCGCTCTGCAACAAGGAAAACAAGCCGTTATCACGACGCGGAACGGAAATTGTGTTTACACGCCGCGATACGCCGCCAGCTCAGCCAGCTTCACCGGCTCCAGGAGCGCTGGCGCCGCGGCGCGGCGGCAGAGGAAAAGGTATAAATAAACAAACAACGCGCGGACTGGATTAATTTCACGTCGATGTGTTTCGCGCGCGCGGGGGCGAGTTGGTTTCCTCGGAGCGCGAGTTAAGTCTGGCGAGAGACGGAGTGGCTATGGCTTTCTCCGCGTTATTCTTAATTTCAAAGAGAAGCAGGGGCTGGTTTCACCTCCAGGGCAAGATTCGGCATTTTAGAACTCACGCCAAAGCAAACACGGTAAAAACGGTACCTGATTTTCGCAGGAAGCCTATGGTAGGGGTATAGGCGACTTCCAAGGGACTTCCTGGTAAAACCAGGAACCGCTTTTACCGTGAGTGATTTTTTTCACACTAAAAACACAAGAGTTCTAAAAAGTCAAATTGTCATCTAACAGCTGTTTCATTTTGAAAATCACCCCGGTTGACCCCAACTTTCCCTTGCAAACCGAAAGGAGTTAGTTGTGTGCTCACGGGTCGACCCCGTTCACAAAGCGGACGCCAATCGGCGTGGCGGGGCCCTTGGCGGGGCCGGGCGGGGCCCTACAGTGCAGGCTGACGACCTTTCACCTTTCCCTGCGCCCTGCGGCCTGCCCTGCGGCCTGCCCTGCGGCCTTCGCGGCCTGGCCGAGGCGCCGAGGCCTGGCGCTCCCGAGGGCCAACAAAGCGGCGAAGGGCTTCGCTGCCCGGCAGTGCCAGGGCAGTGCCGGCTGCCCTCCCTCGCACAGTTATCAGACTTCGGGCGTCCCGCACGGCGCGGCACGGCGCGGCACGGCGTGTAGGTGCGGCCTGGCCACCGCAATCCCCCGGGACCGGGGGCACAGGCAGCCCGGGCGGGGCAGGGTCTTTGTGTCGCACCAAGTGACACGGCCATTCACGTCGCAGCGCCGTGGAGGCGTCGCCGCTACCGCACGACGGCACGCCGCGGCACGCCGCGTCGCTGCGACGCCAAGCGGAAAACCCCCGCAGAGAAGTACCTCCACACGGAAACCGCACCCGTCGTCGCCACGACCCGCCGATAAAGCACTCTATACTCGAGACTAGTTCACCTTCTTCTGAACGGAAAGTCAAACCCAGAGGTCTACTCGATAGGGGGTGCGGAGTCCATTAAGTCACCCTGAGGTGCACCCGTGCACCTCCTCCTCGACGAACTACGCTACGCCACCTCAAGAATCAAGTAGGCAATCTCTACAAGGGTTCCGGATCTTCCCCTGGCTTAGCGCTGCTGGCACCGAATTTCACCGATGTTAACAACCCCCGGCCCGCGCGCGAACGCCAAGCTCGCGACGCATTTCCATATTCGCGAGACGGAGGCGCCTTGCCGCGTCGCCGCGTCGCCACAGTAGCGCTTCCAGCGACTTAATTTCATCCCCCGGGTTGCTTTCCAGTGGTGCGGCACGGAGGGGCGGCCAGAGGCAGACCCAGCGGAACGGCGAACAGCGCGACGAGCGCAGCAAGCACGACGACGACGACGTAGAAATGGCGCGGAATAAGCATGGCGAGGCACGGCGGGGCGGCACGGCCTCGGCGCAACCAAATTAAACACAAAAGAACAACTTTGCATACGTCGGCACGTCGGAAGCGGCCCTCTAACAAGGGCTGAGGCTCTCCAGGCCCTCCGGGCTCTGCGGGCTCTGCGGCCCGGCGGCGGGGCGGGCCGAGACACTTGGCGGGGCTGTCGAGAGGCTGCAGGCGGGCGGGCTGCAGCCCCCGGCCCCCGCCCCGCCGCCTCAGCGAAAGCCCTCGTGGTGCCATCGACACCGGGCAGCGCGGACAGCAGGCTGCAGCAGGGGCCCGCCTCGGCTGCCTCGGCCCGCCGACACCGTCGGCATTCATTGACAAACTTTGTTCGCAAACTGGGAACGGCGGAAAACGCGGGGAAAAAGCGTCGCCAAGAAAAAGCGCGTTTGAACCCCCCGGGGCGGGGGGAGGGGGGCACGCCGCATCCAATACGCCCACCGGACCGGGCCGGCCGGGACGGAGCCCTTGCTCTTGGCATGCGGCGGGCGGGCCTCTGGCCGGGCCTTTCGAGCCAGATGGAGCCAGATGGGGCGGCCTGCCGGGCCTGCCAGGCACTGCCAGCCCAGGACGCCAGATGCTGCCGGAAGTCCAATTCCCCAGACGCCTTGCCTTCAAATCGCGCGGCCCGTCTCTATTTGGCAGTCCGCCAAAACCACCCGCTTTGTGTAGGACATCGGCTCCGGGCGGGAGGAAAGGGGGGGGGAGGGGTGCTGAGCGGAGCTCGCCCTCGCCGTGGCGCTGCGGGTGGCTGCCAGTGGCTGCCAGTGGCTGCCAGTGGCTGCCAGTGGCTGCCAGTGGCTGCAGGGTGGCTGCCAGTGGCTGCCAGTGGCTGCGCGGAGCGGACCGCCCAGCCGAGCGCCTGCGGACGGCGGGGTAGGCCACTCTGCACGACGCGGGTGCGCGCAAGGCCGCGGGGTGCCTACGCGGCAGGCGGTCCGCTCCGGCCGGCCTGCCGAGGACGGGCACGCTCACTCTCACTCTCTCACACTCGCTTCCACACACAAACACACGGCGGGGCGAGTCACGCCGAAGAGTGGAATTGATGAGGCATCGGATAGCGCGCCGACCGACACGGCCACTACTCGCGGCGACCCCGCCAAGGCCGCCGCGCGTCGCGCACGCCGCGTCAGACGACCGAGCCGAAATGAATGAAATGGATGGGACGCCGCTCACTCCATCGCACGCGAAGCGACGCCGAGCGACGCCGAGCCCGCCCGGCCCGGTCCGCACAGCCAGCCTCAGCCAGCGCATGCCGCGCTTCCAGCAGGGAATTCCAGGCAACAAACTCTCGAGGCGGGCGGAGGCACGGCACGCCACGGCACGGCCTCGCAGCGATCGCCGTGGCGTGCGAAAGTGGCGGGTCGCTTCGGCCTTCCCTTCGGAGCTCCCCGCCGACGTCTCCGTCTACCCGCCCCTTCGGACGCAGCCCGGCGGCACGGCGCGGCACGGCCCGGGAGGGGCTTCACGCCGTCGCGTCTCGCTAAATAACGACTTTAGTGAGATTGATTCCGCAGCCCCTCCCTCCCCCTCGCCCCCGCAGTGCCCCGCAGTGCCCCGCAGCCAGACGGGTAACTCTTCCTCCGGCGGCGAGGCTGCGCGCTGCGTCATCCCCTCGCGCTGTCTCTCTCGCGGCCCCACGGAGCGCCCCATGGCCCCATGGGTGCGAGAGAGACACCGACCAACGCACGGTCGGTCGAAATGAGCGTGCTGCTATGCTGGCGGAGTGCGATGCCAACAACAATGCGGAGGCCAGGGCGGCCAGGACGCCCCCGGTGTGGCGCCTGGGCTGCCTGCCTGCCTGGGCCCTCTGGGCGTTGCCCCCGAGACGGGACGCGACCGACCGCGTCCAATGAGAGATGAGCATGCACAATCCGAACAACAAAACCGGAACAACAGGGAACGGCAAACAACAGCGGGGGAGCTAGCGCTAACGAGCGGGGACAAGGTGGATCAAACTGCGGCAGAGGAACAAAAATCGACGCTGTGATGAACGAACACGAGCGGGAAATGAAGGAAAGAGTCCGAAAATGAATGCAAGCGAATCGGAGTACACCGGTGAACCCCGTGAATGCGAGCGAAGCTTGCGAACGCGAGAGAATCCATCCAATGAATAAGTGATTCGAATGGATGAGTGCACAAAGGGTGGCCGCCACACCTTGAAGGCACGCAGCGCCGCCGAGCCACGCCGAGCGCCGGAGCCCGGCCCCTCCTCCAGGCTTTCGGCGCGCCTTGCCGCCCCACCCCGCCCCGCGACGCGATCAACTGTGTGTTACACGGCACGAGAGGACGCCCGGCCCGCCTCCTGGGCCCCGCCGCCTGCCCGCCGCCGCTTCTTCGATGGAGGTAAAATTAGAGCCGCTGGCGCCTGGCGCCGGTATGGCACGGCGGCACGGCACGGCGGCACCGTCGGCCACAAGAAGAAGACAATGGCCCGCGACCCACTTGGGCGTCCTGGCCGCGCCGCGTCCACCGAGTCCTCGACCGAGTCGCACCGGCCGGCCGGCGCGGCGGCCAGGCGAGCAGGCAGGCAGGCTGGCGCGCCGGCCATCGCCAGGCGAGTGCAAGTCAAATGTGGAGCGGAAGCGTCCGGGCGTGGCGTGGGCGTGGCGTCAAGTGCAGTGTCCTGGTGGACGGCGGCGTGGCACGGCGGCGATGCGGCTTCGACGTGCACCCTCGCGCACGGCGACAGGGGAGGCACGGCGGCACGGCGGCGCGGCTCGGGGGCGTTGACAGGGCGGCGCGGTGCGGCGCGGTGCGCGCCGGGGCGGCCGGGCCGGGCCAGGCAGCCTTTATTGATCCACGCCTGGCTGCCTGGCTTCTATAAAACACTACGCCCTGCCCTGGCTGCCTCTGCCGGCACCGGCCGTCTGCCGGCTAGGCCGGGCTTGACCCCCAATGACCGCGGTGCATCTCGTCGCCGCCACGCCCCGCCTCGCCCCTCCGGCGGACGTGACGACTGCAGTGCGGCGCGGTGCACAGCTTCGGGTATAAATGCTTCAGCCAGGATCGTGATGAAACAGTCGAAAGCGTTACTCAACGGGGAGGCAAAATCTGTGTCCGAATCGAATGAACCCAATATCCATATCGCCAGCCAGAGGCAATAAGGTAAAATTACTTTTCAGAGGTAAGTTTACAAAGTCCATAACATGGAGAATCATCACCGAAAGACGTTTTAGAGTGCAGTCAAAAGCAAAGGCGTCAGAGCCACGTCGGCCATCGGGGGCTCGGCTTTCGCTGCACTGGGAACGCGGAACGCACAGGTGCAGCGCGTGTGTGTTAGCACGTGGGTGCGAGCGAGGCCGCGGCGTGCAGGTGCGAGAGAGAGCGCTGCCGGTGCAGCCACGCAGCGCCACGCAGCCGGAGGGCGTGTGGACCCCAAACAGGAGGCATCCGCGCTGCAGCCTCTGTCTCCCTCTTTTTGAGCGGTGCAGCCATCAAACGCGTGGGCTGGCGGCGGCGCGTGGACTCGTCTCTCTCTCTCTCTCTCTCTCTCTCTCTCTCTCTCTCTCTCTCTCTCTCTCTCTCTCTCTCTCTCTGACACACGCACGCAGTCTCGTCAGGGCCACGCACACGCACAAGGCAGATCCCAGCCGTAAAGCGAAACAGAAACGCAATGTCCACATCACCTCTGGATCCGCCACTGTCCGCGCACTGCACCGTAAGTCGATGGGACTTCCCCGAGTTTTCGGAGCGTTCGGAGTATGATTCCCCGAGCGTTGCACGAGCAGCGAAGTGCGGCGAAGAGCTGCGCGAACGCGCGAGCCACCGACCGAACCCCAACGGTCAGTCGGATTCCAAACAGGGCTTCGGCACTGTCTCTCTCGCACCGCAGCGGAACGCCCCCAGGAAAGAGCGAGAGAGAGAGAGAGAGAGAGACAGAGCGACGAGAGCAAGGACTGCCGCTCCACTTCGCTTCGCGAGCCGATGGCGCCAATGGGGACAGCGTTATGACGACTCCCGTCCGACGCAACGCACTGCAGTGCACTGCACGCCGATGCCGTCGCTCTGTCTCTCTCGCACTCTTGGGGCGTCCGGTACAGGTGCGAGAGAGACAGAGAAACGACTCTCAGTTTGCGTTCTCAGTTTGCGGCCCGTTCGCCCCTCCCCCCGGCACGCGTCCGCGCCGCACTGCCGCCGGCCGCGTACCGCGAGGCGTACCGCATGCTACGGCAAGGCATATCGCCCAAGACGCGGCCACCGGAAAATAACAACAATAAAAAATGCAAGCGGCTCCAACGTTGGCCGAGCCCTGCCTGGCCCCACCGTGCGTAATGACTGTACCTACTGTCGACGAACTCCGGCACAGCGTCGCTGCTGCGGCCGAAATGCCGCATTCGCCGCCCCAACGGAGGCGAAGGCACGCAGGACGCGTCGGTCGCACCGCCCCGTTCTCTATGACCAGCGCAGTCATTTGCCCGAGTCAACATCATCAAGTCCACGCAGGCGCGGATACAGGGGGGGGGGCTACCCCCTAGATAGCCGCCTGAAAGGTAGGCAAAAAGTGCTACTTTGCCCCCCCCCCCATAGGCCGCCTCTGCATCCGCCACTGTCGCCACGAAACCCTTGACTTTGGCTGTTCGCACAGCAGTCGTCGACCTAACTCCCTCTCTCTACAGTGCAGGCCCCGACAGGTCGCGGTGCGGTGCGTCTGGCTCGGTAAAACAAGCGGACGCCGTTAGTCCAGTAATGTCAGGCCCACCGGCCGCGCCGCGTCAAGCAAGGCAAGGAAGAGGCGCGCACCATATCCTTCTGGGGCGGGGCGGGGCGGGGCGGGCCGCTGGCATGAAGGGGGTCGTTTTGCATACGGTTTTGTTGGGCGGCCGGCTTCGCTAGCTTCGCGTGCCGAGTCGCGTGGCTTGTGTGCGTCCCCGTCGGTGCCCGTCGGTGCCCGTCGGCCCCCGTCAGCGGCGCCGTAGAGTCTGTAGACAAACGTCCGCAGCCGGCCGGCGTGCCCGGGGCAAGGCCCGGGGCCATGCCATGCCGGGGCCTAGGGCCTAGGCAGCCTGCCCGGGCCCCCGGCAGTGTTTACCGTTCTCGTCAGGCAGGCAGGGCAGGCAGGCCGTCAGGCAAGATGTTGACCCACGCGACGCTTGAGCGCTAGACGCAGGGGTGAACGGCGCGGTAGCGCCGCGCTCGGGCCCCCGGGCCTCGATGCACCCCCAGGGGCCCAGGGGTGGGCCTGGCGATACGCCGCGCGCCACAATGGAGGATCCAAAATCGGCCCGGAGGGGGGGGGCGCAAAATAGCTGCTCATGTTGCCTTACTAGCAGGGGCAAAGTGTTGCCCTTTTCCCACCCTTCCGGCAGCCTCGGCAGCCCTATGCGCAAGGGCCCTCGGTGCGCCGCGCACTGCACGCCTGCGACTCCCGCAGGCTCTAAATGAGCGAGCGACATGTCCTGGCACGGGCACTCGGGTACAGGGCGCCGCTCTGTACACCTGGAAAAAATTATCGTCAACGCGTCACGAGACTGAACTGACACCACGTCGGCGCACGCGGAAAATGGCGGCACCGGAGGCGCAAACGGGCAATTTTGAGATTATTTTTGGTTCTTCCACGTCGTAGCCGTGGGCCGTGGCATCTGCTGGTCATCGCGGCGGGCGCGGCGGGGCGGCCCATCCGAGCAGATCCCCACGTGGTCACCGGTGGTCACGGACGAGTGGGGCTCCGCGGCCCCTCGGCCCCGCGGCGCCCCGCGGTCGGGCTGCCAGCACGCCCCCTGCAGTGTCGCAGCGCCGCAGCGCGTGGCAACCCGAACCCACTCTCAATAGAATAGCAATAACGCTTCGACCGACATTTCCAACAAACCCACCCCCACCCCACGCGCCAAAGTCGCGCTTAACTTGAAATCAAGTTCGGCCGCGTCCCGCCACGCGAATCGACTCCTGGGGCGGACATTCGGAGGCGCTTCCGGTCGCTCTGTCTCACTCGCACTCAAGGGGCGTCGCGCGTCCATCCGAGAGAGACCGAACGACGGAGTGGATCTTCGGCACCAGAGCAGACGCTGCCCCCGCCCTCTCATCCCAGAGGCCTGCAAGAGACAAACACGCGGCCACGCCACTGGTATCCGATCGGCCAAATGCTGCAGCGGCACGGCCTGGGCAACCTGGGCACCGCCAAACCGCAATCCGACTTGTTTTTTCTTCAGCCGCCTCCGGCTTGGCGTGGCGGCTTGGCGGCGCGGCCGGTGTGCGCCACAATCTAATCGCGGAGGCAACGGAGCAAAGAGGCGGAAAAAATAGAGAATAATAAGACGGCAAGGCAAAACGGAACGTTACACGCCGCCAAGTCGCCGGCGACGAACAGGTCCTCGCGCTGGGAGTCGCCGTGCGGCGCGGCGGCGCGGCCTGCCGGGGACTCCCCTCCCCGCTCCATGATATCCACATGATTCGTGTGGCTGGGCTGGGCTTGGCCTGGCTTGGCCCCGGGTTGCAGTGTGCCAATTGAATCAAGGTCGTTCCAGACACGAGTTTCCCATACGGTGTACGGGAGGGAGGCGGCTCAGCGCGGCACAACGTCCACGGTGTGCCCGTCGACCCCCTGGGTCCTCGAAGGCGGCGGTCTAAGCTCTACGATCTAGGGAGCGGGAAAATGTCAGGAAATTCAGAGAAAAGTGCCGATTTCAATAGTGTCGCCCAGCCCGCGGGGTTTGGTGGTAGACCACTCGGGAAAAAATCGCACAAGGCCCTCTAACAGGACTACTACAGCAGTAACTAAAGGCCAGCAAGATCTGCCACTGTGTCGGTGTCCACGTGTTCATTTCATGCAATTCATGCAAGTGGTACAGACACTGTAATGTTGTAGTGTGATTAAAAGGATGAGAGCATTAGAAGGGTCATTCAAACTACTGAATGGGAAAAAAGTGGTGCAGAAATAGAGAATTTACCGGAATGAAACATAAACAAAACAAAACCAAAACACTTTATCATAATCTATTTGTGTTAGGCAAAATATAAAACAGCATTGTACATCAAATTTATTAAACAATTAATATAAACAAATTTCCACTACAATACACTACCGAAAACAAATTAATAATAGTTAATTAACAGAGCCAAGGTTTGGTTAAAATAAGCAAACTAACGATTTTAGTGGTGAAAGCAGATGAAAGTGAATGAAAAACTATTCAAGAAAAGGAAAACACAGGAAACAAAGGACCTAAGGAGAGCATCAACATTCCTGATATAATATACAGAAAACCATACCAAAGCAACATTTCAAGACTACTGGTGTACTAGGTTACAACCCTACATGTTAACTACGAATTACATGCAGTTCAATGAGCATGCGAAGATAAGTACAATAATTTTCTTACTTGAAATCGTAATCCGTTGACACTTAAAGGTTAATCTGACGTCTTTGCCAGTTCACTAACCCACTTTTCGTACAGCTGTCCGAAACAAGAGGGGCAAATGGGATGGTCAAAGCCAGTGTCGAGACACTGGACGCGACACTTTAACGTCTGATGCACCCTCAAGGATATCAACCCTGAAAGAAATGTTCCCAAACAGCAAACACATCAATGCACTGTGTTTACGAGGACAAGAGTCACTGTCCAGAGAAACCCCCACAGGTTACAGAGATCTTCTTACACAAAGCTTGCTGAGTAAAAAGCCGAGCTTAACACTTTCTCTGTCACACGGAACTGTTCAATGAAGAAAATGCAGCAGAATGAACACGACGCGCTGCTTGTTCGACACGAACTGCTCACTTAAGCCCCATGCAAGCCAAACTGCACTGAGCACCGAGAGAAATTACGGACCACACCACGGGACATGATGCTATGAGAAACTGCTGCCTACATTTCTCGCCTTTTGCACGGTGCTGCTTAGGTGCTGCCATCTATCGTCATCCGGCCGTTCCACGTAGTTTCTCGAACACCCACAAGGTGGCGCGCTGGCGCAGCGGGGTCGACAGCCAGCCAAGCAGACTACACCTGGATAAAGCTACGAGATTTTCACCCTATTACACATCTTCCGTGGGATGCACGAGTAAGCTACGTCGCCATTTGTGCCTTTTTGCTATTATTTTGAGTTCTTCACCATCCGGGATCTTTTGCCGCCCATGACAATGGATCGTCGAAAAATTTTCAGTCATGCGATACTCGCCTCCGAAGCAGACAGTGAGGTTAAGAGTTGTGAAAGTGCTGTGCCTTATTGGCACACTTTTGCAATTAAAGCTTAAGCAGACCTATCAAGCTGCAAATTATGTCTAATTTATATTTTGTTGCTTGTTCCCTTGTACTTTTCGACTACTGCTCAGTAGCCTGCGGTACCTAACGTTATACCATGTTGCAAGGAAGGCCTTTCACTTGAACTGCGAATTGTTTGAAATTGTTTCAGAAAGACATGTTCCACGGTGACACAATTCAGAAGCGTTACCTCAAAATGGTTCACGGAGCGATTGAAAGCGGATGGAGAGAAGCTAATAGACTTTTCAGTGACAACCGGTAAAGTGGAATTTCTTCTATGTTTTGTTCTGTGCGCTCTCCGGTCCTATGGACTTGTAAATGGGTTGACAGATATTGCTGCATAAATTACCTTCATTTCTAAGAATTGTCCTTGTATGTTAGAGGACAAATATTCTTATCTTTACTGAAGGGAAAGAAGCTCAGGAGTTAGAGACTTCTCAGAACGTATTTGTCAATGTTGCATCCCTCTGTACCCACTTACAATGCAAGAGTAATATTTTATAATCTGCCATTCAATACGTTTTTGGCTTAGATGAAAATGGCTTCTTTTTTCAAATCTTCCTTCTCCATTGCTAAATAATAGGTTTTTTGTTTTTTTGTTTTGTTTGGGTGGTTTATGTAAATGTTTCGTTTTAACATTCCAAGCACCGCATTCCTTTTTCTAGTATGCATGACAGTTTATTTTCGTTTATGTTTCATTTATGATTCCAATATTGCATGATAATTCTTCCAGTGATGAAGGTCTTTTTATTTATTGTTATGATTATTTTTTTGTGTTAAAATTGTGCTTTTGAAGCTTATTATTTATATGAACCATGCTTTCCTCAGGTCATGGCAGTCGTGACTTGCAGTATGTTCTTGAGCATGGGGGAGTTCCAGTCAATGTCACCATGGCATCAGTGCATCAACATCAGTCCTACGATGCATTCATCTTCCACCTCACACTCCAGAATATATACATCTTTAGCTGTTATATAATTGATGACAAATGATGGTGCGTTCAGGCACTAACAGTCGACTTTGATTTTAAAAATTTTATGAGTATCTCAATAACCAACTCATGACGGACTTTAATTTGATGAACCTAACATGGCATTTAGCACTGTAGATAGTTTTAGAAAATTCTGAAACCAAACTAGAGAGTACAGCATGAAACAGAAAATACAGCTTGGATTGTCATGTAAAATCCATTTTAGTGATTTCTAATTATTTTTCCTAATTTTCAGGAACCCTCCCTTTGGTCAGTTGCCGAAAAAACCGCAAAAATGCTCTGTTGTCATAATTGGTGCAGGCATGGCAGGATTAGGAGCAGCGAGGGAATTGGTTGCAGCAGGAATTAATGACATCGTGATCTTGGAAGGCAAGTTCACTCATTATCGTCAGCAGTCCTGCAATCAACTTGGAGCAATAGTCTCTCTTCTTGATGTGGTTGTGTTATTCCAATTCTTCCTTTTTGTTTAGCTCAAGAAAGGGCAGGAGGCCGCGTTTGTACTGCTCCTCTTGAGAATGGTCATATTGAGCTGGGTGCACAATGGATTCATGGTGAAGATAATCCTATCTATCATATAGCCCACAAACAAAATTTGCTGTCTAATACAACTTCAGCCGAAGGATTAGGTATGTACTTCATTATTCCTGAAACTCTTTATTCATCTGTAACTTTCTAACATTTGATATCAATGTAAATTTTTTTGTAGGACCATATTTAAAGACTGATGGAACAGAACTTTGCAGTTCTCTAGTTGCTCATGTTAGTCATAAAATATCTGGCATTCTAGAAGATTGTGAGCAGTTTGTAGCGTGTGATGAAAATTATCCCTCATCTGTTGGTCAGTACTTACGTGATCGCTTTCAAGAATATTTGGAGACTTGCAGTGATGACACTCCTGAGGAGAGACAAACTAAGTGGTCAATATTTGAATGGCATCTTAGGTACAGTAATCAATACACAGTTAAGTTTTTCAAATATTTAAGTTTTACTATACTGACCAAATCCTGTTTTGTTACAGATTTCAAGAAATTGATAACTCTTGTTCAGATCTTGACTCCTTGTCAGCTAAACATTGGGGAAAGTACAAGTTCACTGGTGGTGAGGACTACATAAACCTGTTAAGTGGATACTCCTCTGTTGTTGATGCTCTCATTCAAGATCTACCTGATCACATCATACATTTTAATTCACCTGTTAAAAAAATTGTATGGCAAAAGAAACTGTCTGCCATGAATTCTAACCAACTATCAGATGATTTTGCTTCTTTTCCATCATGTGTTTTATGTGAGGATGGATCTATTGTCCATAGTATGCATGTTATCGTCACTTGCTCTATTGGTTATTTGAAAGCCAACCTAGATTTCATGTTTGAGCCAACTCTGCCAAGCAGTTTAACTTCAGCAATTGATTCAATGGGCTTTGGTGTTGTTGATAAGGTTTTTCTTGTCTATGACACACCTTGGTGGGGTGAAGAGCAACAAGCATTTCAAATAGTGAGGGGTCATTTAAATGAAGTGAACACGGCTGAGGTAACTTTGAATTTCCTTCCCCTTATATTTTAATTACCTATTTCTTGTGCACTTACCTGTGCTTGCTTCCAGGAAAGAGACTGGTGGCTGAAGGACTGCACTGGCTTTGATGTTCTTTCTCGTGATCCTCCAATTCTTCTGGCCTGGGTGGGTGGGGAAGGAGCTGTGTTTATGGAGCGACTTAGTGAAGATGATATTGCAGAACATTGTACAAGTTTACTGCAAAAATGTGTTCCAAAGCTAAACATACCATTGCCAAAATACATCAAAAGGTACTGCTGTTGACACCGCTGCCTAGACCCTGAGATTAATTTGACTGTCTAATTTTTGTTTTCCATTGTTCCTCTTTTTTCTAAGGTCCTGCTGGTCAAGCAATGTTTATATCAGGGGAGGCTACAGCCACACCACAGTGGATCGTGATCAAACAAGCTGTGGTCGCAAGGATTTGACTATTCCTGTGTACTGCGAAATGGAAAGCGCTCAAAAGGTGGAGTCAGTGCAACTGTGCTCAATCATTTTCACATTCAATGACCAATGTCATTTTTACTTTTTGTTGTTTTGTTTTTTTCAGCATCCAGTCATCCTACTTGCAGGAGAGGCGGCACATGAGTCGCATTATTCCACTGCCCATGGAGCCTTTGAATCTGGCCAAAGTCAAGCACGAGCTCTAATCAAGTATCAAAAGGAGACGAAGTCTCGTTTAACAGAATTATATTCTGCCAATAATGTCGATGCCTCTGGAGTAAAGTAGATGTATTCTAAGACCTTCTGGTCAAAGACTATTTTCAGTACTGGGTTTGTAGTAGTTGTACCTAAGAAGCAGAACTATATTGATGATGACAGGGTGTAGTATTATTTCAATTCTCTTCTATGGCTGTCTTTTGCACATCTATTTGATATGTGAACAGGTTTCTGTCCTTTCTATTTTTAAAACTTTGTCTAGTGTGTCTTATGCTTTGCAGCAACTTTTTTATTGAAAGTATGATTGCACCCAGAAAAATGTAACTTGTCAATTACTCTCCTAGTCAAACTGTATATCCTATAGTTGATTATTGCCTTCCTTATTTATTTTTGGGTCGGTGATTTAACATGCCTATGGTTAACCATTCCAAATGTATAGGAATATTGTTATTGAACTGCAATTGCTACTTTTCTTTTTGATGGGATCTGTTTGTGATTGAAGTTTGTGCCAAAGATTATCTCTGTATTGTTGGGGCTGTTTTTTCAGAACTCCCATATAAAGACTTGCAGTCCACTTTCTGCTCTGAAAACCTAGCAGAATGTGGTTTGGAGGAATCGAGTTGGATGAGTCAAGGGCAAATTTTTACAAGTCTATTGCTCAACTGAAAATTATAAAAGACAAAGGATTTATGACCTATCTGCCATGAACTATTAGTTTAAATTTCCTTCTGTAGGAACAATTGTTGTTAATTGTGTTTTGATTTCGATATTTTAATTTTATCTTTATGTTTTAGTTTTGTGTTTATAGTTACTATTAAAACTTCCTTCCCTTGAGTCCACTGTATTGTGGATGTTACTGTGGATTTCATTTCACATTTTATTTATGATGTGTGCCATTGAAATGACTTGTTTCTGTGTTATTTTGACACATTGTAATGATGTGTGTGTGTGAATGTGTGTTATATTGACACAAAAGTGGATGTGTTGGTATTTTTACAAATGTGAATAGGTGTTGGTTGTGGACCAGATTTTCAAAGACTTAGATCATTGACGGATTTGTTTTAATAGGTATTTCCATGCCTCTTTTTGATTAATTTTTGTTCGGAGCACCTATTGCTTGCTGTATATTTATATATCTATCATTGTACTGTTTATGATTTCCATTATACGATTGGGTATTTTCGATTGTCTATTGAGAGGAACTGTATTTTTTAGCACATTTGATGGTCAATAAGTCTATTTATAGATTTCTTCCTCTAGAACACTTCTAGTTGAGTTGAAGATGAATATGTAGTCTAGCAAAATCTACTTTTTGAGAAGTTTTCCAAGGCTTAATGTTACACTTCCTTAATGGAGTTAGGGATTTACATCTGAATAAAAAACATTTTGAGAAAAAAACAAATTGATTCTGCTGCTTTGCCACACTATCATTGCCAATCTTCCTGATTTCACGTGGGCACAGCCTTATGAGTTTACAACCAAGACCTTTCCTTGGAAGGTTTAGCCAGATGAGATAAACGGAAACAGCCCGCAGACCAGGAGCCAGCCGAGCTAGCCACTGGGTCAAGGAAGGTGAAGGTTGGACCGGGGCCAAGAGGGAAGGAGTCCCTGCTGTCCTTGAAACTCAGCACCACTTCGGCAAATAGGACTAAAGCCCGACTGGATCCAAAGACCCAAAGTGTGCAGTCACAAAAGAGTGGGACAGTGTGACATGTGGCGAGGAAGCGAACCACCAAGGATAAATGAGAGACTTCCCTCCTCCTTCCCTCCCACCCGGCGCGGCGTTGAGCATGTGATGTGAGCATCACTGTCCTGTCGTGTATGCCTTGCAATGCCTTGCGCCTGGCACTCGGCAGGTCCTTATGCAGGTCCTCAGCGCTGCACGCGTGCATGCGCCCCTGCCCCTCGCGCCCCCTTCCCCTTCCGAGTGTGATCCTGACCTACATCCCCGGTACACTGCACGAAGTGTGGGCCACCGCCATGCCCTCCGCCGTGCCCGATCCGCATCCCCATCGCGGCCCCCTACTTTGTCTCTGTCGCCCCCGCGGTGGCGCTCCGCCCGCTCCGCCCCTCTCGGCCAGAAGCCCTCTCCGTCGCACCCTTAGGCCTGCGGGCCTCGCTGCTCTCGCCGCTCTCGCCCCTTCGAACGTGTTCCTGGCCGCAGTCTGCCCGGGCGACTGGAGCCGCGGCGCCCCCGGCCCTGCCAGTGGCCCTGCCACCCCCGCGCCGCGCCGCCCGCCCTTCCCGCTCCCCGCGACTCGGCGACGCATGCGCCCGGCCTGCCCGGCCTTGCCTTGCACGTTCCGTAACGTTCCGTGGCCCTTCCCTTTCGCGAGGCGAGCGGCGAGCGAGCGCGCGCAGGCGAGCCGAGGCAGAGCGCCGCCTGGTCGAACGCCACCACCGCGCCGCCGGCTCGCCAGCCTCGCAGGCGCCTCGCCGGTCGCCTCGCCGGCGCGCAGCTCGCCCGTGGACGGACGCCCCATCCCACCCCATCCCCCTGCCGCCCCCGGCCCGCCCCCGGCCCACCCGGCAAGGCAGCCCGCCCGGTCCGCCCCGCTCGCCGCCTCGCTGCTCGCTCCGTTCCAGTCAGTCAAGTCAGTCCGGTGCCGACTTGCGCCGCACTCGGTCGCCTCGTCCGCGTGTCTGCGCCCCCGCCTCGCCGCGGCCCTCGGCTGTCCCGCTCGTCGTGTCGGAAAGCACGTGCGGCGTGTGCGGCACGCGAGTCCCGCGCCCCCGCGTCGTGCCCCGGCCTTCCAGTGTCTCGGACTTGCGCGTGTGTGCGACTGTCACGGCGTGACTGCAAGGTGCAGACCCAGCATCGAGAAGTTAGTGTTGTTGTCGTCGTCGTGGATGGATTTCGCCGTTGGACATTATTACTGAGGTGAGTAGTGAACTGTGTTGTCACCGTCCGACCCCACGGCGTCGGTTCAAGTGGTTGTCATGTCGGCCGTTCCTGTCGGCGCTGGCGCTGCTGCGCTAACGACGCCGGCGTCCTCGTGCGGCGCGACGCCACCGCATTGAGGCGCTCCTATTTGAGTTTGGTTCTGCGGAGCCCTGATTGTCTGGGGTGGGGGTGGCGCAGGGAATTCCCACGCCAGCCCACGCGGCCTTGGCTGTCGCTGCCAGCCCCGGCCAAGGGCCGGGAGCCACGTTGGGCCGGGTCGGGGATCGCCGCGGTGCGCCATGGATCGCCATCGGCGTGTTCGAATGTGCACCGCCGCGTGCTCGTCACGCTTGTCACTGTCAGTGCCGCTTTCCGTGTCGGATCGCTTCGCTAGACGCTTGGCCTGACGCGGCTAGCGTTTGGCGGGCTGTTTGAAGTGAAGCGGGCTTGCGTGCACGGCCTTGGCCGGCTCTTCGCTCGTCGGCCGGGCCGCGGCCGGGCCACGGAAACGCCCGAATGTGTGTTCGGTTCGGCGCGGCTCTGCTTTGCTAGCTTTGCTGCGGGGGCTGCGCGCGAGTCGACGCGAGCCTCGCTCCGCGACACCAGACTGATTCCGACGTCGCTCTGTCTCTCTCGGACCTTTACCTTGCGCCCCGTGAGTGCGGGAGAGACAGAGCGACGAGAACGGCTCTCGGAAGCAGTCTGCAGGGTGGCAAATGAGGGGACGCTACCCGGGACCCCCGCCCCGTGCCTTGGGCTTGGCCGGCGCCGCGCGGCGGGTAGTGACGGGTACTTCGGCCACCACCCACCACTCGGCGCGCGCGCGGCCCCGCGGCTCGCTTTGTTTCAAGGGCGGCTCGAATGGGGCTCACTTGACACGACGCGCTTAGTTCAATCGACCGCGTTCCCGCGCTTTGATCCTCGAGTTCCAAAAGGTGGGTCGGCGAACCGTCTCTCTCGCTCTCGTTGACACTGGCGAGGACGGATCGGCGCGGATTTGGAACGGGCCGGGCCGGGTAGGGTGGAGGCTGTGAGCTGTGCTCACCGAAACCCTTGATGAATTAAAAGGGGTGGGTTTATCATGAGGCGAAAGCGAATGCTGGCGTCCGACCAACTGAATTTATACCTTTTCGCTCCGCGCCAAGAACACGAAGTGCCGTGGCTGTCGTGCCGCCGCAGCAGTGCCGCCGCCGCGCCAGCACGCCGGGTACTCCTCCTCCGCGGCCTCGAGCCTCGAGGGTGTAGTGGGGCCTCAGCCAAGGCCCCAGCCGGCCCAGCCCCTGCCATTGGGTTTACGCGGTCTTTTAGCTGGCTAGGCCAAAGCCGCCGCCTCGAATTTCCCCTTCCTGTATTATCAGTCCAAAGCCGTGGGTCTCGGCAAGCCTGGCGAAGCGCGAAGCCTGGTCAGCGCGGCCTACCACCGTAACAGTCCAGACTCGGCGTCCTTATCCGCGATTTCTATTCCCCAGGGAACAGGGAGAGGTAGCCCCCCCCCCTCTCTCTCTCTCTCTCTCTCTCTCTCTCTCTCTCTCTCTCTCTCTCTCTCTCTCTCTCTCTCTCCCTCCCTGCCTTCCTGCCTGCTGCCTGCATCCCTCCCTCCTTTGCGCGCCACCTATGTTATTGTTCAGCGACACCCTGCGGACTGATTCCGAGAGTCGTTTTCGTCACTCTGCTCTCGCACCCATTTGGGACGCCCCATGAGTGCGAGAGAGACAGAACGACGAAAGCGACTCCCGGACACTAGTGTGCTGTCCCTCCCGGTCCCTCCCCGCGTGCGACCTTCGACTTGGTGTTATGTTGGCAACTGCTTTTAGCCAAGTGGGATGCGCGCGTCCTCGACTTGGCTCGCTCGGCTCGGGTTCACTGGAAGACTGGAAGCCTTGCTGGAAGCATGCTGGAAGCAAAGGCAGGCGGTCGTAAGTGCTTTCAGTTTGCCGGCCGCGGCGTTCGAAGTGACGGCCTGTGTCTGTGTGTGTGTTGTCTGTCTGTGTGTCTGTGTGTCTGTGTGTCTGTCTGTCTGTCTGTCTGTCTGTCTGTCTGTCTGTCTGTCTGTCTGCCGCATTCTCGTCCGGGCCGCAAGCTGGCTGGTCCTGAATGGGGTATTAACGCAAAGTTTGGCGCGGAGCGGCCCCGCGTCCGGGGGCGTCCGGGGGCGGCGCCGGGGCGCCAGATAGGGAGGGATGTGGATGTCTGTCGCGCAGTGCGAGTCTGGTTGCAGTTTGTGGCTGCTCGTGCGAGTCAGACTGATTCCGAGAGTCGTTTTCGTCGCTGTCTCTCTCGCACTCATGGGGCGTCCTTGTGGGTGCGAGAGAGACAGAGCGACGAAAACGGCCCGAGGGCGGACCAGGCCGTCGAGGCGGGACAGTCCGGCCGTTGTGGCGGAACTTACGGTGTCGAGCCGTGCAGCAAACCGCACATCCCCGCCGGCCATCGCAGCCGCCACCATCGAGGCCCTCGGCCTGGTCAGACAGACGACCCTCGGCCGTAGGCCCGGTGAGCCGTTAGCAGGTCGGAACGCAGAACGTTTGCCATTTACATTGATTTAGTGTCTTTGTCCCTCTCCGTCCCTCCAGTTTTTTCACCCCTCTATTCTTCCTCGCGTGGCCGCTGCACGTGGATTCCGAGAGTCGTTCTCGTCGCTCTGTCTCTGGCAGGGCGTCCCGTGTTGGTGCGAGAGAGACAGAGCGACGAAAACGGAATCCGTCCACTGCACGCACTTCGCCCCGCTTCAGGGAGATGGGAGGCACCCAAGCCCCACTGCCACTGCACTGGGCGGCGACTGGGCGTCCCAGAGACCGAGAGACCGCAGCGTGCGCAGGGAGAGACTCGTTCGCTCACACTTGGATTGCTGCGCTTATTGCCAAGCCATCAAGCGTTTTTGAGGCACGGAGAACCCTCGCGAAAACCTAAAGGGGGGGGGGAGGGCAACTCGACCCCCCAGTGATGACCACCCTCTTCCTGCTGCGGCACTGTGCTGCGGAAGCCCTCGGAGCGGTTCGTCCGCGAGGAGGCCAAGGAGGCCGCCCCGGAGGAGAGGAGGGGGTGCCAGTGAAGCAGCCAAGCAGCGGGGGCTCCTTCAAACATTGTAAAAGTGACGCCCCTACTAAGGGCATCACCCTACAAAGCCCGCAGAGGGAAAGAATACGCCTCATTTGTTATTTTTTTGTACACCGTCGGCATTTTTTAGGGCTTTCCCCAGTAATAATTGCACACAGTGTGGTCTATCTGTTGTACGGCTCAGTAAATAGGTCAAATGTGTTTGGTCAGCTGCCCCACCCCCTCCCCGCTCTCGTCCAAATAAAATTAACGAGATATGACCCCGAGGCGTTTGATTGGACGTTGCAATCTGCGCCGGCCCTGATCTCTTTCCATTTTAAGAGCATTATTATGGTCTGAAATTGTTGGAGATGGAATTGAGGGGGGGGGGGAGGGGGGGGGGGGGGGGGAGGAAGGTGGTCGCCCCAGACCAAAGTCGGTGCCAAATTGAAATGCTGGACTAAATGGAGTAGAGCGGCGAGCGGGGCGGGGCGGGCTAGCTGGCCCTTCGGCATAGGCCCCAGGAAATTCGAGTTGTATTTTTTTTAAAGAGAGAGATGGCGGTGGCGGTTCGGGAGTCAGCCGGAAGGAAGATGCTGAAGCGACAGGGAAGGCCGCGCCGCCTCGGGTTGGCGGAGTTGCGGCGTAGAGCTGGGGCGAAGCAAGGCGAAGCGCAACCAGAGCGGAGCCAACGCGACCAGAAAACAGCCGTTCTTCTTCAAGTCGTGCCAACCCCACGCCGCCCCGCCCCTCCCCGCCCCGCCCCGCCCGCGCCCGTCCTGCGGGCTATGAAGGACGGGGACAGATTTCGATATTGTGGCTAGCGTGGTGGGCGTGGTGGGCCGTGCCAAGTATTGGATGCGCCGCCAGACGCCTGCAAACTGTAAGCCTGTAAGCTTTGCCGTCCCCGCGGCCTCGACGGAGGCCTCGCTGGAGGCTGGTCACTTAGGGAATTTACCGCAGAGGCGCGGCCGAGCGGAGCTGGGCTTGCTGAACTCGACAGCGGCGTCGACGCCCGGACGGCCGTAGTGTGGAGCAGCTGTGACTTATTGGCCGACGCGTGGATCCACAGGGGAGAAAAAACGGAGGCCTTTTTTTAAAGCCACACGCCCGGCCCCCTAAAATTGGCACATGGGGTCACAGTCCAGCCAAAGAGCGGAGGCTGGGCCTCGGCCGCGGGCCCTTCGCCCTGGCCTAACTGATTCTGAGCCGCCGGGCGCCGCGCCGCCAGCGCCCCTAGCTAGCGCCCCTAGCTAGCGCCAGCGCCGGCTGGCCGCAAGAGAGATTGCACCCGTTTGTAGCCGAGGACAAATGGATCATGGGGCCGGCCGGGCCTTCGCCACCATAAAAAATAACGCACTCGCTGGGGGTGCCGCGCTGGTGGGGGCTCCCTTGGTGGGGCGGCCTGCCCCGCAGCGGCGGCAGCGCGCTTCGGCCACCAGTCTGAATATCAAACGCTCCTGCAAATGAGGGAGAGGGATGGCCGCAACACACAGAGCGAAATGATGTTCCGCGAGCTGCCTCCCTGGAATGCCGTGCTTTCCTCCCGACTGTAAATGAAAGCTCTCTCTCTCGGCCCCGTCGTCGGCCCTCGACGCGCTGGGCTCGGCGCTGCCGCCCCGAAATGAAGAGACGGCGCCTTGGCATCCCCCCTGCATACACGGCGGTGGCGGTGAGTGGCGCGCTGCCCGTTCGGAAGAAGCGCATGACCCACTTTCTGACCCGCGGCTCGACCGGCCCGGACCGCCCGCATCCGCAGGGGGCAGTGTGGCGGCATGACAGCGCCTCGCCTCGCCACGGTGCGACGGCGACGTCGCGACGCCTTCTCGGAAGGCCAGCGGAGACGTCGCGCGCCAAGCCCGTCGCGTTGCCTGGACCGAGAAAGCATTCGCTGCAAGTGTGCTTCGCCTGGATATATTCGCATTCCTTTCTGCCCGCGTCCAGGCCGCCGTCCGCTTCGA